AACTGAGTAAAGAGCTTGACAATGTATATGTCCTTAAGTGACAAAGGACCGCTTAAAGTGGTGACCTATTTTATGGAGGCACGCTGCTCCATGAGGCCTTGTTGACCCTAAAAGTCCAGCTTATAACCTCTGCCCGGTCCGTTTTGCTTTTTATAATCATTCGGATCCATGCAACGCGTTTTGGAGGCTAAGCAGTTGGAATCGGTGTCGATCAGTGAATAGTTTCTATGGCCGAAGAATCGGTTAAACGGCAAGGGAAAGCCAAATAAACAACTCGTATGGGCAAAATTAGCTTCTCGAAAATATCAACACCACCTAAAAGGAGCAGAAAAATGAAATTTGTTTCTGGCCAGGAAAATTTTCCAAAGAGTCTTTATGACCTTCTCTGAAGAAACCAGCTGTCCGAAGCAGCCAGTCATATTAAACAAGTTGGCCTCGATCACATAATAGCGTAGTACAAACAGATAGGGATTAAACTGAAACACCAATATACAGCAACTTCGACGTCAGTAAAAAAAAAAGACCTAAATAGGTACGCGAAACAACAAATCCGAAACTCACGCCCAATCGAACTTTAGTTAGCTTCGAAAAAATCTAATACACCGTCACAGAAATTCCGTGAATTACAGTGATTTACAGCCTGGAAAAGGCCACCACGATCTGTTTGAAGATAACTTCTTAACACTCGCTGTATGGCCAGAAGCAATGAAAAGTACATTCTCGACTGCAAGTGTTTATTTGGTGTAAAAATAATTATTATTGTTATCATAACTGATAGAAACATTAATATAATATTGATGTTGATGTTATTTTGAACACAAATTCAATCTAAGGCATATTTTCTCTTGAAAACGATTTCTGAAAAACGCTGCAAAGCTCCGATACTGTGACGAGGTTGAAGCGCAGACTCTAATAATCAATAGCCATACTTGAAATGAACCTTACAAACATTATCCAAAGTGTATTACGAGTAACGGTTTTCCTTGAAACGAAATTTTTTACTAATTGCTGTGAATTTGACAGCACTAGGTTCACGAGCATTACGGGCTCATTGAAGGCCTTTGTCGTTAATAGATCAATGCGGATGAAATTTTGGCGCGCTTCGGATGAGGAGGCCACTTATATCACTGCCCTATCAGTTGCAGCGTAGCCAAACGGTTTTTATCTGTTGCCGTAGCATACGTTAAGCCCATACTGCGATGCTTTATAGTATAGAACGAAGCATTAATTTTTCTTCGCGATACATATTCGGATGTAACCTTGTGTGGACATTAAGTGTCTCAATCGAACGATCCTCTATCTTCTCTTATGTGAGTGAGAAATAATGTGCACCGTCTGTTAGAAGTAAAATCCTATAGCTTTAACAATACTTTTCTGCTGTTATATAAGCCCCGTTATTTTTCTAGGTCGATATTCCCGCTGTGGGCAACAACTACCTATGGTATGGCAGGAACCACTTTCGAATAGATTCCCGCTCAGATGACCTCGAAACGGCCCCCACATCGCTGAAACCGCTTCAACCCACTACCAGTTGTACTCGTTCTCATCCTGGCTAAACTCGGCTGTTATTATTGTCGGTGTTTTTAACGTATTTCTTCACACGCAGAACTTCACCACGATGTCTGAACTTGCAATCGCTAGTTGCCGCTACTATCAGCAACAATATTTTTTTCAGTACTTTTGCCTTTGGCAAATACCCATCAACGATTTACATTTGGTCTCAGTGACTCCTCCTCCTCCTGGACCAGTGACATAACTCTGCGGTGAGCTAGGTGTTACCTTTTCTGTATGTACATTGCACGTACAGGCTAATTTCAGATGACAACCTGATTTTGAAAGTTTTGGCATGGCGGCTTTCGTGGCGAAGGATTCTCTGATCATTTTCAGTCTCTCCACTGCTAACCCCCGAGCTTCCCCCTGCGTCTTATCCGTATTTCGCACCCCCCGGCGGTTTTGATCCACCACTCTTTGGGTGTAAGTTCACTTACAAAAGCCGAAAATGTCTGAACGTGTGTACTGCATCGACCGCTATGTATATAATCGCAAGTTAGCACAGCTGGCATGAACAAGCTCTCCGACGTCGCTCTTTGCCCTGCCTTCTCAGCCAAACAGATTCCTTACAGCCGAATGCGTCTTTATTACAATAAAAGGTAACTTTTTATAGGAAGGCCATAATGACCGAGATATATATCGTTACATAATTTTAGCTAGCTGTAAATAGATTACAAGGCATCAAGTCGTTGGATCCCGTTGCGCGAAAAGCACAGGAAGAAACTTTACAAGAATAGCGTCACCCGCAGCGATGTGGACAAGAAAAAAGGAATTCAAAAGGACCTTCTCTAGGCACGCTTAAAGGGAAATGTATAATCTCGCCTTTTAGGCTATAGTAGTTGGAGACCGTTGTTAAATCGTCGCCGAGTTTGATGGGTTTTGCTGACCGGCCCACTATTGTGCGCGCACGCGTTTGACGCAACGTTTTACGATGTAACGAGCCAAAGGAAGGGAAACTGTGTAAGAAATTTAAAAAGCACAATAGAAAAACCCAAAACTACGATTTGTAATGTATCATCGCATGAGATCACTGTGCGGCTCGTTCACCGGAGAAATCCAAAAATGGCACAGAACGGTCCGATTTCGATAATCACGGATGGAAGCAAAGTGTCACAAGGTCTGTGAAGCCCTTTGGGCTGACAAGCGATAGAAAACGCAGCGTTCTACGGAACCATATCATGCAAATAAAGCGCTGTTAGTTTACCCAACGCTCTGTTTCGTATGCGAGGAATAAAGCTGTATAACACCATAGGAAAAGGCAGTGAGCGGACAGAAAGAATAGACGATGCAGGACGGAGAACTGTGGCTTGTTCAGGTACGTCAATCCTACCGAAAGGCGAATGGGTCGCCTTTGTCTGCGCGATCCAGCGAGAGGAAAAGACATAAGTGTGTTCTTTTTGGCGGCAAAAAGAAACTTATTTTATTTGATGGGTGGCGGGACAATGAAAGTCTCAGATGCGTTTGTTCTATAGGCATTAGCCTGGCAGCGCGGTGCTGTGTTTATCTGTTCGATTGGAAAAATGTACGTCAAGGCAATGAACAGTTGCATTTTGGATGATAGAATGCTTCGACATGAAAATCCCCCCTCTCAGATGCTTTTTCTTTATGTATATTTTAGATATGTATAAAAGCACACCTAAATCTGGTGCAGACCAGAGCAAAAGGATGGTAGCCGGCAAATTTATAATAGGCTGTCGGAGAAAATTAGCAGTGGGCTGATTTTTGTTTTTGGAATTCTCTGTTGCTTAAGACGGTGACAAATTGAGACGGAGGTTTCGCGAATCGTTTTGACCTATTTCTGCACGAGCTAAAATCTTTGGAAGTCAATAAATATTTCGTAGAGGGCAACAATGCTTGCGGCACACTAGGGTCAGATTCGAACGTTAACCGTAACTGCACGGCAAGCTGAAATTACAAATTCAGATAATTTTAATTCGTATCTCAATAAACATTTCTATTCCAGATGACTGGAGACGACGTCGTCGTCTAGCTGATATAAGACAAAGTTTACATCTAATTATGAAAAGCATTCGCGTAACGAACAACAGTTGGCTCTAGAATCAGTGTTGCCAGCTAACGTTTCCCCTATTCCTGTTATATAGATAGCATCATTCTGCTACTAAAACAAACGCAAGTTTTCAATAGGTAACAACCGTCGAACAAGAAACGTTAAACATTGAACTCAATTGACCTCGAACACATATAGGATAATACAAGTGCACCTAAAACATCGAGTTGACATTTTAGATTAATCTTGTGCAGGCTATAACATACTAACATTATGCATGTGTTTTTTTTTTAGGTCGTTCCTCACGGTGGGAGTTCCAGAAAAAGTGGCAGATTGCTATGCCATCTATCTAATGTACTTGGCAAAATAAAGTTGCTTTAGAAACTTCCCTTAGGATACTTTGCTGGTGGAAAGAGCACGTCCTTTTGGGATTACCTTTCCAAAATAAAGACGAAAAATGAACGGAGAGCCAAAGGTAGGATATATATTTATAATCGTTATGAACAGAACGGTTTTATATAGGATAGCCTCAAAATATGAAATGTTCCCCATTCAATTTTCACAGGCTTCTTCACTTGAAATTTTCAGTGGCTCTTATGAACTGGGCGCGGCTCGACACGACGGCTTGAAACAATGACCCTGTCCATTTCTTCTTTCAATACTGCACTCGTGATAAAAAAAAAAAAAAAAAAAAGTAGATTTCCTACTGTCATGGCATTGGCTTTCTATCGTTGAATGAGACCCAGATCGTTCATCATAGTTGTCATGAATCAAAGCAAAAAACGCACTGAGTGGCTTTCGGAAAATCACCAGGCCAAAAACGTTCAACTTTTTCGCTACTCGAACGGGGCAAAGTATTGTACTAAAGCCTCGTTAGTGTATATTCCGCCCGAATTATTATGCCTTGTAAAAGCTAGATAAACGCTACGTTGCACTATCTGCATAAACTACCTCTGCAACTTTTCTCTCAATAAGGAAACAGTTATAAATAACTATAAAACTAGTTTATATAAATTATATACGCTACGCCCTCTGTAACACTATCTTTCAGCGGATGTTGGGCACTAGCCAATATTTCGTAACCATAAAAAGGTCACACGCCACAAAGGTGTGGGCTTAGACTTCAGCTAGACAAGAAAGGAGGCGAATGCACCTCCACGAAACACACGTCTACGGAAACATACTAAGAGGCTTATTACACGACTCGTTTTTGGTTGTTCCTGAGCAAGGGGTGCATTTGTGTTTAGATTCCACCGGAAGCTTTTAGGTCAATCATGTAATCTGTGTATGATATTCGTTCAGAACGTCTCGTTGCGGTGTACCTGTGAACACCCTCCTAAATAGCCTATAAGCACTGCGTATTTAATTACCGTACAGGTACTATGAAACCAATAGCCAATATATATATATATTAATGTTATCATGATAAAACAATTCACAGGTTACCATCGAGGGAAAGGTTCGCGTCCGCGACAGCAAACGGTGGAAGCCGCGTTACTGTATTGTGACGAAAGCATCACCCGTCGCCAATTCGCTTCAGGTGCACCTGCACAAGGAGCTTAAGGGTACAAGCAATACTTCTCAAACAACAAATGCTAGCTCAGAAGCTGGCAACCGCACTTTGTCGAAAAGCGGACGAACGACTGTAACTTTGGATAATTTTCTAGGCGTCCAAAGTGGCTTCCCTCTTGACAAGGAATCTTTTACCCTGGCCATCTTTTGCCAGGACTCGTGTGTCGTCCTTGCCCTTGACAGCCGAGAGACTCTTGCACTGTGGGAGGCAAGGCTACGCCTTTCAATGCCCGAGGTGAGTAAACTAATAATAAAATCCCTATTGGTACCATGTAGCGAGCTTGTTTAATGATTAAACTCATTTTTTTTTTCTAAGTTTAGTGCATGGAAATGGACCGACGTCCATTTCCATGCACTAAACAATTCAAGGATCGGTTTTCCGGTGGTACCAGTAAGAGACGGACCGTTCGTGTGCATGTCGAGAGGGCTATTGAATCTTTTGGATTTGGTCTCGTTGTTAATGCCGACAAGACGGGACACGTACTGTTTCGTATACTTGAGAAGATTATCAATACATTTCATGAAACATAATTTCAATTGTTACAGGCTATCAAATGCTTGAGCATACATATTCAACACGAAACGAGGGAATGACAGGCTTATTTGACAGTTCCAGCATCTACGTGCATGTTCTTGTTGCAGCATTAGGGAGACTTGGGGGCAATCGGTGCTCCAAATTTTTTCAAAATTGTCCAGAAAACGCTGCCCCTAGAAGTGGTGTGTTGTACATTTTTAATTGAAGGATGTCGTTGTCTCAGAATGTGTTTAAGTTTAGTAGTTTACCTTGAGCGAAGTGTCATATCGCATGTGTTGCCTTAGTTATTTTCGAAGTGTCAAAAGATGCAATTCCGTCGGAGATCTCTTTTCTGCTTGTTACCATCCTCGAGTCGCTGCGTCATCATGTTTGATGTTTCATTCGGTAACAACGAATCTCCGCCTGCCACTTACGGTCAGCCAGCAGTTCCTTACCTCGTAAGATTCAATCACTTGACTCAGTGAAAAAAACTTATGAGAGAAATTCTAACGTAGATCGTAAAAACAATAGATAATTCTTCCGTAGCTGGTAGTGGCAACGCTGTTATACCAATTTAATTACTAAGGCGCAAAAATATCTTTACGATAACCTACACGTAGTCGAAACTGTAAGCTTTGTACAAATTTTTTTTGTGTTTTAATAAGTTCGACGACCATCTTGCGTCGAAGTCCTTGGTTGGCAGTATCTTGAAATACTGGTAGCTCTGCTGGCAAAATAAGCCATCATAAATATATAGGATCTTGGTCTTTAGTTCGTTAAGTATGAATGTTAAAAGGAATCGATATGCCTAATGATATAACTTAATATATCTTATAATATACAAACGTTTCCGGCCAGCCATGTCATTATGAGTATCTTTTAGATTTCGTATTCGTTCTGAATTCCGTTTACACTGGTAAAGGTTTCAAGTTGTTCACAGCATCCCGCAAACGTTAATCTGTTGTCGTTACTAAGGAAAACTTGTCATTGCAAGGGTAGAATTTTTCTCATGGAAGCAAAATACTACCATATAGATACATAACCTTTTCTTTTTCAACTCATAGACGAGCTTTGTGGAAAGGCTCGTTGCATTTCATGGTCCTATAAAGACTTTATTGTGATCCAATAAATAATAAAGTTACCTAATACTCGTTGACGATGTTCCTTAAGCTCGTCATAATAGTAAATAAGTAATAACGGACATGAATTTCGTAATAGGTATCGAACTGACGTTTCCTATTAGACTGAAAGCCCTTCCGCAATTTCCTCAGGTTTCATAGATTCATTCAACTATTAGATGAAACAAAGAGCCGTTCAATTGATCAAGCTCGAGAGCATTTCAAATTGAGGCCTTAGTAAATATTGCACATTTACTAAACGTCAATGTGACACCAGTAAGTTGATAACATAACAAACATAGTATAATGTTCATTCGTTTATGACTCACTTTCTGTATATTACAGTAGAATAACAAAAATATAATTCCAATATATTTTGGATAATATATATATATATATATATATAGCAATAAAAATAAGGCTCACGTGTTATGTAAGGGACCCATGTGATAAGGGAAACACACAGCAAATTTCTGTTTCTGTGTTTTTCTACATGCCTCAGACGCATACGCCGCACTCACCTCGTCCACATAAACATGCGTAAAGCACAAGGAAAAAAGGGAAATTCAAGCGTTCAACTAGACGTCTGCCCCTATCTATTTCCTCTGTCGTCCAATTGCATTTGGACATGTGTTAATCAATTGATTTCCGCACAGAATCTACTTTGCGTAAAAGGCGCTGTCTATTAAAAAAAAAACAGGAGTTTTTTTTTGTAATTCTTCTAAGCTTCGCGACCGTCGCTAGATTTACATGACCACGGCGTTAGAGCTGGGAGAATATTTTTAGAAAAGTATTTTCTATACGAAGTACTTGAGCTACTGTTGCGCTATATAGTTCGTTCGTGTAAATTCGAGAATGAAAAACCGGCTAAAAATGTTGCATGGCCTGATGCGCTCGCGTCGAGAAGAAAGCTCTACCATGGGCAGACCAGTACGACGCCTTCACTTTTTTGCATCGAATAAAAATCATCAACGAGAAGTTTCCGTTCCACACACGCGTTAAAAACTGAATCAAGCAAATTTCTCTGCTGGATAAAAGCTCGTCACTCTAGAAGATTTCAAGTAAACCTAACGCAAATAGCCAAGCCGAAAGATTTGGTCCCTTTGGATTATAACTGGGTGTGGGCAATCTGGCCCTAGCTCTACTTTTGTATTTGTTTGTTGTTTTTGCCACTGGCCTATTATTCTAAAGCGACGTAATTGCTATGGTGTTTGTGTTACAGGTCTGTCACTTCGATGCGCAATTGGTGAAAGTTCCACCGTGTGGAAAAGCCCAGCTGGGGCCTTGCCGCTTGCATATACAGGACCATCAGTTTTCCATCACGATTCTTACAGCACAAGGGCCACAGGTAAACATTTAGCAAAAAAAACTAATAATAATGAACTTGTAAATTTGAGATAATGCTAAATTTAAGCCGAAGTAAAGATGGATATCCGAACCTCTACGAGTAAATACCTAATATGAGTAGAAGCCATGTTGCCTAAGTGTTGTTTACCACGTTAGCTCCGAAACAACCGATAACAACAGTCAGCTAAAACTGATAAAAAAAACATTATTAAAACGTGTCTAAAGCACGATTATAAAGTTATGCCGTTTTACAACCTGTCTCTCGTGCCCCCACCTCAACCCCCCTCCAGCACTGCGTAGCTGGCTTTAAGTCGTAAATTTACTAACAGCCAATTTATTTAGGCCTAGCATAGACGACTAGAATCAGCAGAACGTTGTTTCTCTTAATTAGCACTTTGTTTATAACCCTTTATCGAGCTCTAGCTGAGTCATCAATCGTATAACATTTGTTATGATTGCGTGTGCATTCCTATCACCCGACTGACGTGAATTTTTGCCTCTGTTTTTCTAACAGGTTGTTCACTCGTGGAAGATACAAGAGCTACGACGATTTGGAAAATTAGACGAGAATCTTTATGGTTTCGAAGGCGGCTCTAGGTCAGGAAAGGGGGAAGGAGCCCACGTTCTTATGCTTGAAGACGTCTGCGGACTCGGTTAGTAGAGAGCTAAACCTCTAAAGCAATGCCTATAAGTTCACCTAAGGAACTACTTGAACTTAAAACACTTCATTCATTCTTACGTATGATTATCACTTGTAGCATGATCTGTTCATTTCGGGGACAGTACCTTTACATATTAGGACAGACCAACACTGAATCGACCTGGGCAGAGCTGAAGTTTTATGAAAAGGATCTTGAGGCATTGATTGCTTTTAAGCATCCTTAATGTGCCACCATCGAGTAAAAGCACCACGTTGGTGGCAGACTGCATATTCTTAATGAAAAAACAGTGTCGCAAACGAACATTTGGCTTCTTGATTAGAAAAACTGCTCTTTTTCAGGCCATATTCAAGCTTACATAAAGTGGTCTAATTAGACATTCTGCGTTGTGCATTGTGCAAATTATAGACTTGTCACCAGGCCATTTATTCTAACGTGGTGTTGCGACCCGTTTTAAAAGTGGCGGTCTGACATTTCATTCTCTCCACATCGTTAGCGGTCCCCGCAGAACTACACAATTTTGTATACACTATTAGTTCTATTTGTATGCAAAGCCATCTGACTATCAGCCTCATGTCCCTTCCTATTGTGCCAAGGAACATTGTGAGCGCGAAGCTAGGTTTAAGAAGATAGACGTGAATAGATCAACATAAAAGGTTCAATCTACCTCACCCCACGCTAGCTACTTCTTCTACCGCAACGTTAGTTTAGCCTTAGGGTGTCCCCTCAGGGCGTGGACAGCAACTTTCCTAAATCTTTCGAATGAGACTCGTCAAGGATCTCTCACGCTTACTAAGGGAATCGCCCTTCAATATCATAGGTTATCTATTTGTCAAAAGAAAGGCCTAGTTGTATCAAAAGATGTAGAAGATTCGATCCTGCTTCGTACATTAGGGTTTTATGTTAGCTGTAGCCAGGAAACATGGTGCAGTGAGCCCATGCATATATATTGGGTCCTTTCACTTTTTTGGTAACTTAAACTAGTGGACAGACATAGAGTAATCAGTCTAGGTATCTAGTTTATCAGTACACTGATAGCAACATACCATCCCACAAAAACCATCATGCTCAAGCCCGAGTCTAAATGGTATGTTGGACTGCGTTTAGTTAGAGCTAAAATACGCTAGTCTATAGTTATTTATTAAATGAAATTTTCTATCGGTCCTTGATCTGCGATGCCGCACATGTTCTGGCTTAGACAGCACTCACAAGCCATGAGGTGCACGTAGCTACATAACCTCCATGTGTGACTTAAATAATGAGGGTTAGGTAAAATGCCTTACCATCTTGCATACACTACACCTAAAAATACGACTGCAGATAATAGACAAATTTAACACGATCTTGATTCGATATACTCTACCGTGACGAGAACTGAGCTTTCCCACTGGTCCCAAAAGAAGGGAAAACGTGTCAACCATACAATGTGAGTGTATAATACGTAGTGTTCAATTTGTTGGAAGCATCAATCACTCCATAGCTCCTCCTCTTTCAGCTTTGCCGTACTCAGCTATAACACTGGCTTGTTCCTTCGAACTGTTCAGACCATAGACGCATACAATATTATATGACCTACCTTAAACACATCACGGAGAACCCATATACATAATACAATGCTTGTCTATGTTCTAGGGACATTTCCAAAGAATAAATAAGTTTATAGGTTACGGAACCTGGACTTAATACCTTTAACTGGTCCGACAAGGTATGAGACCGACTTCTACTACTTCAAACAGTGTAAGGCTGGTTCCGTTGAGAAAAACTGATTTTCAGGACTTGACTGAACAACCAACGCGTAGCAGATCCAGCTAAATACATTGACCGTCAATACAAATGTGCAGGCAAAAGTGATCAATGTGCGTCGACTTTGAGAAAGGTAGGCCAAAATAGGCAGCGAATGCCCTTGAACTTCTGAATTAAATTCCCCTGATGCTGCCTGATGCCCCTGCTGCCTTTCGCTCTATCATTCTTTGCGAAACTCTTCCGGAGGAAATTCGGAGAACCGTAATAGAAAAGGAGCATTGCTGAACGGTTTGTTCCGAGGTCTTCCATTCAAGCCGACCGCTAGTGGTCTGTCGGGAACTCGATGGCACACTGCCTGTGCATTTGTAACCTTAAATTGACGAATAATTTCGGACAAACTACTCTCTAGCTGAGCGCAAAAAACAGGTACTTTTAGCCGCAATTTCCACAAGCTCACGCGTACCTGCGTTCCCATCGCTTCCCTTTACTGTCGGCCACAACACGAAACGCCGCATAAATAGTTGTTGCCCGTACTAAGTGGTTGGCGAAACAGGTTTTGCTGCCAGATTTCTAATACTTTGTAGCTTAACACAAAAAAAAACACCCCGAAAAGATAATTAACAGAAAACAAGAAGGTAAAAGTACGCAGGCCAAGTTGATTAAAGTAGATTGTTTTATTTAATTTTTATCTTGTATTCCATTATATACATGTGTATGTAGGCATTAGAAGAATAGCCAACTGGGCTAGTCTATATTCAACGGTTTTTTGTAACAATTGACTTGTATGCTAGAAAAGGAGCTTCGCTGAAATCTATATCGTTTTACACATCGATAAGGTCAACATCTACCTATTGTTGCATAAGGGCAAAGGATGTACCTAGCTTGCCATTTCAAGTTCTTTTTAGCTTCTAGCGCAAATAGCACATATAAACCAATGCAAATTAGCTATGTAATATATATATTGCTTATAAAGCATGATTTTAGTAACCGGTTTCCTCTTGAGCAATGAAAAGCCCGTTGTCTCGGGCTTTCATGTTTTGACATCATCGTTATTCATTTACGACGTTATTATGCAGCACGGTTTAAATGCTTAAATAGATACAATCTTATGAGCGCACTTCCGCTGGGATTTTCCAAATGAAAATTTTTGCTTGTAAATGCTGAGATGTTTCTGGGAAGACTGGAGTAAAAGGATCGTGTTGGTTGTACCTCGAAGTAAACGCATTTCGTGGCGCTGCGGTTCAGATCTTGCCCGCGCCCTTAGCTAGCGTTATCCCCGCTGTTCCATGCTACCTCGCGCCCCTCGAGGTACGAGTCTCTATCTGTCTATTTTCCCTGTGCAGGAAGTAGTGGAGTTCGTGGTGATGGCTTACACATCCGGTGTGTTGGTTGATAGAGATTCGCCACTGGTTCCACTTCTGAGCTAAGACCACTCTTTCCCGGCGTAAAAGATCTTCCTCCAGAGTGCATCCACAGTATAGAGACTGCACGTTAGCTTTAGTGCGTCATTTATATTTAAAGGATTCGGGTTCACGAGAAGCGTTGTCAAATTATGCAGTCAGATAGCCGCGGACAAATCGGGGACGATCAACAAAACAGCACAGCTTAACCGAACTTATCGTAGGATGTTCGTGAAAAACATATAGCAGTCGTGACTACTAGAACACAGCCACAATACAAATTTCATTTTTAAATGAAAGACGCAGGGGCAAAGTATAACGTTATATTCGTTTCGCACTGCATGACATCAGCTTGGAGTATGTACTACCAAGCTCGATATAGAAATCTTTCATCTCAAAAAGGCTTTTTTTTAGCTGCACCCAGAAACTACCATAAAATGTGAAATATTTTACACAAAATATTTTTTGGTCTCTCGACAAAATTTGATGTTCTGAACTCGAAAAATCCCTACTCGCAGTTCCTTAGTCCTAAATACATGTAAATATTTTCTCGAAGAGTTAGGGCAATATAACGGTTAATATTACAGATATATTCAGGGTGGCGTGTTTAAATTAAGGAATACCTTGTTGTAGAACACTATTTCTGTACCAAAAACAGTTTTTTTTTTTTTTAGAATTTGACATGGCGAACAACATGGTGTTATTTTCGGAGTTTTAGCGAAAATCAACTACTACCCAATATTTGCATTCTAGGCAAACCTTCAGTAAAATTTTAGAAGTTCTTCCACGGTCGACATTATTATAGGTTTTGATGCGACGTGTAAAAAATTGAGGAAACCTTTCATGAGGCAGACCGGAAAATTTTCAATGGACTTTACATTTAAATTGGTTTGAAAATGTATCAAAATGGCTTAAAAAGCCATTATTGATACGCCTCGATTTTTGATAGAAAAATTAGCAGCCGTCTTAAGGAATGGAACATCAACTGTCGATTAAGTCGTTCAGATAAGCTTCAATGCCTATTCTTTGTTTGAAACTTATTGTACTTTTTGAATTTTTTAGGTTACATGAGCCTTTGCATTTTTGTAACTTTTGGCCTGCTATCAGCCCAAAATTTAATTCCACTAGATTTTTGTGTGTAATGCATTTGTGCAACACCTTAACACTATAACTTGACGCACTATTGCTATCGAAAATTATTTGTAAGGTAAAAAGGAGATATATTGAAAATAACTAGTGAGTAATTCCAGCCCTGAATTGAAGACGTAGTCGCAGTGAACGACGATTATATTGAATTAATATATGATTGTCAGGAACGGTATTTCTAGCATATGCAGAAAATTAAGTTGAAGCATCTGTTTTTGTTTAGATACTGTTTTAGAAACAAAGTACAAGGAATATTCTCATGTTAGATTCACCACTTTGCATATATATCTCCTCGTAATGAATACGTATATTATGCCTTCAAGTAAGAAGATTATTTTGAACCTATTTAAGGGCAAAAGGTCGCTGTCAGCTTAACGCTGGGTTAGCTCCAAGCAGCGACAGCACCTCTAACTTGCTTGAGTTCGATATTTTAAACGTGGTGAGCGTAGAATGGAAAAACCTTTAGGACAAATGATTCAAGGAAAAGGCTGCGTCTAAAGTACGATCAACATCAGTCTGGGACCGCTTACAGAGATCATCGAGCCTACACCAGATCCGGCACCAGCACCCTCACCCCCTCCTTGCCTCTCCCTTTCGCGATTCCTCCCTGAAGTTTTTTTCTTTTTCACTTTTTCCTTTTACATTACGACACGGCGACAAAGGAACCTAAACGAGAAAAAAGCGCAATCGTGCTACTAAGGACGGAGGAGCTACGCCTGATGCGCCCATCTAACTCCTGTCAACGATAGGTGCTGCTGCAGAGCCATTACGTTTTCAGCCTGCTTGAGTTCGGTGTTCTCGCACATTCCAATAGAATATCTAAAGCAGGCCCTGTATTTTAGCACTACAGGAGCGAAAGTACAATATATAATCTGCAGTAAAGGCATGATGCTGTCCCTATACGTGTACGTTCATAGTATACAGTAGCAATGATCCGCCTACCCTCGAAGATGCTAAAATAGTCCGTATTGAGCGGACAGTTCCGGGTTTCGTCTGAAATGGCTGTTATTGCTAGCAAAGGTAGTGCTCGGTTACTTGGAATTACTCGGCCTCGAAAGCGGTTTTCCGAAAGAACCCTCTTTAAAAGGGTTCTAGCCACTCATGAATGGGTTCTAGCTGTTTTGTTGCTTTTCATCTGGGAATTTCGAAGCATACGCCAGCTGCGACAAACAAAATCGTTTTACATTTATTGTTGAGATATGTAATCCGATATTGCTACATGTGGAAGGCGCTCTGTTGTTGGATGACTATCGGGCGTGTGTCGCTTGTGTCGGCACAGAAAAACTGTAGAATGAAAAGGTATCGTAGGCTCCACGATGTAGGCTACTTACAGATGGGCATACTATGAGTGTTCCTTGCACTTGCGTTCTATCTTTGGCTTAACAACAGGACTACTCGAACTGTCGAACTGCTATGGAGCAAACACACCCGAAAACAACGCCCGCATTATTATAGCTTATAAGGTTCACTGTATGTATTGTGCTTTCAGAAGGAACATTCCAAGTGGCGTCGCATGGTCTGTTGAACCGACAGAAGAAAAGCGTCTACAACGCCCTTATGGCTGATCTTGTAAGCCTTCGGGAACGAATGACCTCAATTAACTCATTGAACTCAGCAAGCTCAACAACCCTAGCCGGTACGTAATTCACTTTGCTGTTATTATTGTTTTTATACTAAAATACAACAGTCGCTAGATTAGGCTCAGTCGTCGACACATGTACAGAACATGTTTGATACAACAAAAGTCAATTGTTGCCAAGCATATGAATATTACATCTTATGGATATAATAGACCGAAAGAAGATTCTTAAGTTTTTTTTTTCCCTATTCCTAACATCTGATTTGTCGCAAACAGTTTTCAATAATTGTTTATCTCTCGTACATGTGGCTGAGTACTTTTTTCAAGCACTATTCATACAATAAACTGACTTCATTATTTACGCAAAAAAAAATCGTTGTTCTGCACCGTGCGGCCGTGATTCAAAAACGGTGAAACCTGCATCTCGCTGTTTGCCATTATGATCATAGCTCAGCTTTGACTAACACCTTTTGTAAATCTCTGTATGTAATCGTAATAACAATGATTAATTTTATATATATATATATATATATACATATATGTTTTTTCTTTTTTGTGAAAATACAACAATCTACCATTGTTTGTTTTACAAGCCGAGTACCATACTCCATCGGCAAATTTATTCCTCACTTATGGAGCCTCCTTTACCTTAAACTCTGTTCGAAATTGACGATGTTTGTTCTTAATTCCTTAGATTATATAAATATTCACAGACAATCTAAATTTTTGTCGAGTCTGTACTTCGTTTTCACCCTTTCACACACATTTTCACACTAGTATTGTTCGGTTCCTCGGTCGAAGTGGTCGATAGTCGAAAATCATTTCTGCCGTAATAACTGCTGTTCTTCGGTGACGTTCCATCGATCCCGCTCTCCCGATCCGGGATCTCCATAGTCAGCATTCATCGGTGGGCCCGTAACTGTAGTGTTGGGAATTGCAAGCTATCCGATCAGAACTTTCGTTATTTGGAAGGAGACTGCCCCGCCAGTGAAAACGAACAACCTGCCGCTCACTTCAGCTGTGTTAGCAGACTTTCTGCCACTATTTGACTCTCTTCCTATCTCTATTTCTCTGTGCACCCAATTGCGAGCCCGGGACTTCGTTGACAGCGCTCACTTTAGTTGGAAAGCGGACGATCCATGTAAACGTAAAAGGGAATGCTTCCTCCTTCCGAAAGAACTTATGTATGGCGTATGCAGACAATTACTTTGCAATTAATGTTGAGTTGAAAGACTTGGCAGATGCGAAAGGCTAGGCGGTCTATTCGATAAATAATAGTAATGAAGAAGTTCGGGATGCGCCGGGATTTGCATGCCATGGTAGGACTAATAGCTCCTAATGCTCCCCTTTTAGCGGCACAAGACCAATTCTCAAATGTTTCATACAATAGGTTAGTTTGTCTATATGGAACTGCACAAGATACGATCGATGAATAGACATTCAATCAAACTGTAGTTTTCGGTAGCTGAGTAACTACTAGTTACATTTTCTCCGTTGCACAACACGTATGCCTCAGCATGGGCGAGTCCTCTCACGCTCACATGTCACTAGGTGCACATGCTGTTTATTGATGCAAACTTCATCGTGAGAGGCTCGTTAAAGCAGAGAATTCTATTCAGCAAAAACATGTTCTTGAAGCTATGTGTGAACTATAGTGCCTCTTATAGTACAAATAAGCCAAAATACATGAAAATGGATCAGGATTACAACTATATGAATAGTGAACAGTGGCGACAGTTTGAATGGAAATTTTGTAGCTTACTTGGAGCTTTCGAAATCATTTCGATAAATGTAGAAAAGCACAGATCGATTGCGATGATAGAAATAAAACATTGAATGTATCCGCCTGAGGCGTAGGTCTCTAGCACTGAGCTACTCTGAACCCATTCCGATATAGCTGTCATATTATATTTATGCATGTACGTAATGCCATATGACAAGCATATTTTAATAATATAAAGAGGTACCCACATCAATAATGTTAACTAACGTTCAAGTGTTAATCGGTACCATTTATTTATGTTACAGCCTCAGCAGCGTCTTCCGTTTATGGTGGAGACTCAACCCTTCGACGTCAAACAAGAACCTGTCACTGCAATTGCGGCAATTCAGGAGGAAGTCCTAACGTCGCTACAACAAAAACAGATCAGGTGGTCAATAACGGTGGCCCTGGAACCACTGGCGGGGGTATTGACGGCAACGCTTCTTCTGCGACGTCCACCTCGGATCATGACGGCTTGGGTAGTGCGACAAGTGCTGCATCTCCTTTGTCCACAACCTCTTCACTGACGGCAGCAAGCGTTGATGCAGCTGGTTCTTCGGCTAATCCTCAATTGCAGCATGGTCGACACCCGTCGACTGCATCCCAAGACACGACTGATTCCCTATTAGCACTCGAGTCACAAGCAAGCACGACGAAGCACTGCGACCGCTCTTCGCTGTGCTCAGAAAGCTCGGTTAGTGGACACTGACTTTCACTTTGTTAAATTTTTTGTTATAAACACAAGGAATCTTGTTTTCATCTTTCGTCATTATTACTATAGCTACAGCTTATTACGTAAAATATTTTCACGAATCAGACTCTGTATCTAAAAAAATTCCCATATGAATATTTCGTGCAACATACTTAAAGTAAATGTTCCAAATGTTACGTGTGCTAGTTAAGCTGTTAGGCATTGCTTCAGAGCCTTTTAGCATGAAACAAGTGCGTTGAAAAGCTTTAATTCGATCATACTCCTATCTCCTTCCGTGTTCCTAACGTTAGTGAGGTAGTAACACGTTACCCCTGCATTATCACAGCAACTTGAGCAACGTACATAGTTAAATAGAAAGTACTTCATTAGATATGTGTGCCTACGCAGATGTTACTGAAGTTCTGGCCAAGTGTGAATCACAATGTCTTTGCTCTCGCAAAGCCATGAAGCTAATCTTTATAATATCTCTAAAATACATTGTACACATTTTTCATTTAGGAACAGTTATGTTCATTTCAATGGTGCATGTGCCGAAATGTACACTACTATATTACATAGGTACGCATCGGTCCAAAAAGCTTTCTCCTTGATTGACTGTTCTCCCACACTTTACGTTTCATTTTCCTTTACAGGGCACTGGAAGCTGCAATGGCAGCGTGGGTGTTCGATCCGACGAAAGCTCAGATTATGATGTACCTAAACACGTAGCCGGTGGGGCCACAGTAGAACACGGATCACAGGTAACAGCACTGCCCGGAACATCCCCCGGTACAGCAGCCTTGGGGTCTTCACCGTCTTCCTGTTACGACCAGCCCAAGAATCTCACCAGTGTGACTTCTGCCCTCAAATGCCCATGTCAACCATATCGTTCGGCAACTACCTGTTCGGGAGAGCATCCCGACTCACTTCTAAACTATGATATTCCTGCTCAATTAATGAGTGCATCAAATCCTCCATGCTCGGATTATGACACGCCCAAGGCGGTAGCTGACGCCCTTTGGAACCAGGTGACTGGATCCTCATCACACGTTAACCATGGTGCTGTTACAGTCTCGTATAATAACGGTGCAATGAACAACTGTCATTTTGGCCCCATAATGGAGTATGAAACGATTAAGGCCATTACTCAAGGGTCACCGATTCCAGGCTCAACCGGTTCTGGAACCGCCGTTTTCGCACACACTGGTTTCGCTAGCCTTTTACAAGGGCAGGGTAATCTTGGACAGGGTTTTAACGCGGTTAGTTTGAACCCGCAGACGCAAAAGGATCGATTGCTTCAGAACGGTTCTCCATCATCAGTACTTGCAGGAATTACGGACGCTAAAACACGCCTTTTATTTTCCCAGAGGCAAGAACACCCTTCGGGTAGATCACCCTCACGAATGGATGCCCAGACCAGGCAAGAGACACGGGCTTTGCGTCTTCAAAACCCTGAGAAATCTTTTTTCGATGCAGTAAACCGATGCTCTTTAGCTTCCTCACATGCAAACTTGAACAATCAATTGCCTGCGTCTCAGACGTTTGCTATTAGTCAGTTTGCTAAGCAGAAGCTTGATCTAAAAGGGACGGGTGATAGTGGCGATAGTAAACAATCATTTACAAAAGCTTTCAACAATATGGCCACTACAGCGAACCGCCAGTTACCGCCGATGACCCTTAACCACGCACCCCAGTTATTGGCGAACAGAAGGCTCCTAGCAGAGCCGGCCCCCGTAGGCGCCCTGTCTAATAACGGACTTGCCGGCACCTGCGGGGATCAGGCCATCGACTACGTGAATGCCCAATTCGTGGACCTTCACCTGCAATATCCGCTGTTGGAAGACACCCATCTGCAAAACGGTACTGGGAACGCTAAACAAGGTCTTCAAGCCGGACCGTCGGTGCCGCCTGCTCCAAGCCTCGTCTAATGAAATTATTATATAGAATCTTTCAAGCGCACCAATTTCGGAAAAGAAAAAGGGAAAAAACAAAAAAAATTAAAAGACAAAGTAGACAAAGGAAAGAGTAAATAAATTTTAAAAACTTAGGCGCGTCCACGGAAACGACTGTCTTTTGAAGACTAGAGAGTTCACATGCGAAATCGACGACATCGCAAGTATCGATAAAACTATCAGTGGTGGATTTTCATTTATGTTTTTGTATGTTAGTTATAGGGAGGTTGAAGGATAAGATCAGCTAAAACATCACGCAGAAATGAGCGTAAAACAATAGATTCTTCTGCCCAGTGATAAAAGCCGCCACGTACGTATTTAGCGTCTTTACGTGCTAAACACAGAGACCTATAATCGGCTTGTTTTTGTAAGGTCTCTGCCAAAAGATCTCGTGTCAATCTGCCACTCCTGTCGATCTCCATTTTGCTAACACTACTACGAATTCGTGACTTATTTCATACAATATCATTAACTATTTTCGATACAGTATAGAAAAACAAAAGCTGTTCATTTGTATAGTTCGATTAAAGGATTTCCCCCTGGCCCAGGACAAGATTTAGTCAACACTTGTAAATATTTAATTTTTCTATTTTGTTGAAGACACATCCTTTTATCATTGCCCGAGTCAGGCGGGAGTTTGTGTCAGGTACATAGAAAGGCGACAAAATTCGCCGACCCTAAGTAAAAATATTTGTTTGAAAAGATCGTCCCGTAAAAGCGCCAACGAATGTGAGATAAAAAAAAATCTCCGTGATTGATTGTGATGACCCGATGAAGCGGAAGATGATGAAGAACGAATTGCATCGATGACTCTCTCTCTCTCTCTCTGTGCATTACTTTATAACCAAAAATTGAAACTGTGACTTTTTTGGGGAAAAAGATGAATTGCGGTTATTGAAAATATATATATATATATATATACAATGCCTATAAGACAGCATTAAAGAGGTATTTATACAATATATAAATATTGTCTCTAAGAATTATTATTAAAATAAAGCCATGCACGATTTGGTAGAGCGACCATCATGAGGACTTGCATGCCGAAATTCAATGTACATATCGCCGTTGGCCCGCCAACGCATTTCCCTTGGAGTAGACCCATATTTATACTGCTTATTATTGCCACTACTGCAAAAGTTGCGGTGCAATACCCAGTATATATGAAACATTGGCAGCGAATGTACATAGCTTACATCTCGTAGGTATAAGCCATGATACAAATACGAACATTTTTCTAAGTGAAATATGTCGCCAATTACATCCCAACCACCTATGATTATATATGCGAATGATACAGGCTATATATTAACTTATATATTGGACAGAACTGAGGAGCTTCCGATGAATGATATTGTATGCGTCACATGCAACATTTCTTACCCTGTTTGTAGATTTCTTATGATAATGACTCACCGCTCTCGCGGCATTACACTCAGTCCTGGAGCACCGGCGAACGGGAATCGGCATATTCGAATGAGAGGACACGATAATGAATATGGCGATGCTGAAAGAAAGCAATACGAAAAAAAAAACAATATAAGATTCGTAATTGAATAACAATAAACTAGTGCAATTAAAAATTCACTTGATGTATCACTTCTATTAGAAAATAGGTGTTTGGGCATGTTAACCATTTCCAATTAATTCGAACCCTTTGAAACTCAATTGCTGAATATATATATTCGTGAATAATGGGTTGGTTCAGCAAGATCTAGACCCTGAATCTTGAACCTGATTCGTGGTACTCGTTAATGTGGTGGCAAAATCGGTTTTGCTAGGAGAGCTATTCTATTTCGCCAAGTTGACTCAGGCCATATGTAAAAGGTGAGCGTACAGGTTAATCCCGCACCCAGATTTTCTCTGCTAATCGCAAACTCTTCTTGAAGTGATTTTACGGTACTAGAATAACATATCCAGGTTTTTTTGTCGCATAATACACCTATCCCATCAAATACAACAGACAACTTAGTTGTACTAAATGCAATGCTTCTATTTAAGACTTAATAATTTTTGTGTTCAACCCGATTACTTCACTAATCAAGTATGTCTTAAACAGAGCTTCCTCATTGAGCTCGTTTTCAGTTTAGGCACTTCGCTACAATAATGCAAAGTTCATCAGCGTTTTGCCCTGTATCAGTCAACTGATATTCATTCGCCATCACTGCTAGTCTCAATCATCAGTCTCCAATGAGATTTACAGAAGCACGTGCAGTCGACACATCTACATGAAAACGTTTTCGGAGCGGGACTTCAGCGTAATGTAGAGCAAAACCACCTACGGTGCGCCTGGAGTCGCTATATACAGACATGTGCCGAGAAGCGAGGCGAAACCGAGACGGAAAGCATGAATGAAATGATAAGCGAGGAAAATCGGTCGTCGAAGTTGCCTTCGGAGTGCAGCAATTATCGCGCTGTTCCTCTTATAGCAATAGCAGTCTCGGAGAGAAATGACGACTTCAGTGATCACCACCATTGGCAACCTCCCAGAGACATCAAAAAGTTGCCAAACGTCAGCGATATGACCTCTGCGCGTTCGTTGAGAATTCGTAGGAAGTTTAGTTGCTGGGGAAGGTCGCAAGCGTGACATGTTTTTGCAGTTTTTTCGAATGTTCTGTAACTCTACTCTAAGCGGTAAACGCCACTGCGGGTTGAGGCCCAACCTAAACGACCACACAGCATCCACCGAAACCGAGTTACGGACAGACAAGCTAAAAGAAACAACTGCTTGTTAATATATCTAAGTATGCACACAGTCAACGATGCGAATGGTGCCGAAACAGAATATGACCACAGGAGCGTCAGCCCTAAGAAACTGCGCAGAAGTGATCCAGTTCAGACAGACCAAAGTAGAGGCAAGTGTTTCTTGAAGATTTGAGCAGAGCTTCATGAAAGGGATGGTAATAAACGACCTAATTATTTCCAATGTATCACATGATTTTATTTTTAAGCTTTTTGTATTTCACGCAGCTTGTATTGAAGATATGAGTACAATTAGCGACGCATGAATTTCAAACAAAAAATGTATCGCTGTGCCAGTATGACATGGCAAATGAAATTCTCAGGACGAGCACATAAGAAGGCACACATGTTCCGTTTTAATATACCAGCAATTTATTAACAATTCAATATGATGTATACTTTATCAACAGAAATCACCAAGATAAATAATAGTAATGCATTTGTGACAAGGAAAGCAATAAAATGACATTAAAAAAGAGCTAAATCTCAGAACCAACGTCAATTTTTTCCTAAAAATATAAAATTATAGTGCAAAAGCGATGATAGTAGGAAGAATATATATATATATTTAGATTTCTATGTGTCAAGCCGTGCCTATGCTTACAAGTTTTATCTCCGAAGGCGCCTTGTCTACATTTTTGTATGTGCCAGCTACCAATCTCATTATCTTCTGTTTAGAACATACTCAGATCAAACAAGATATTAAGTCCTACCGTATCATCCGTTTTGAAACTGGACTAGAAATCATTCGCTTGAACAGTTTCGACGAAACTTCTCCTCCACCAATCTGATTATATCTCATCGCTATTTTGATGCAAATATTTCCAGCTTTGAAATGTTTATACAGTGGTCTCATAGCTCATTGGGTCTGTAATTTAATTAGGCTGTCTGCGAACCGGTCTAGTGTATAGCATCTGGTCGGCTGGCTTGGCCTGTGTGGTCCGGAGGTATGGCCGCCTAAAACGACACTGTTACTAATGGAATCCAGTGGCATTAATCCTGTCTATTTGTGCGGCTGGCCGGCTAATGTTTTGTTGCTGCGGATCAATGTGTCCTCATGTAAGACGTGTTCGCTTAGACCGGGCCCGTAAAGTTATGTTGTCGGCCTGTTTCGCTAGTCTTGTTCGCAGTAAGCCGCGATCTGGGAGTTCTCCTCCGGGGGTCGTTCACTAACCACCAGCGTTGATGCTCAGCGAAAGTCGGCAGTTTCATCGTCGGTGGCTTTTTCTGGTAGTGCACCCTCCTACCTACTGAAGCAATTGATTATTCGTTTACGGGCTGTGCCCACATCGATAGACCCGCTTCGATGCGATGACACGTCGGTGGCATGCTATCCTGCGTCACACTCTTTGTATATATATACATATATATATATATATATATATATAATATATATATATATATATATGTGTATGTGTATGATGACCGTAATCGAAAGCAAAAAGTCGTGAACCTACCGAACTGTGTTAGTATAGTACTATTTGTAGCAGAGCTTTAATTTGCTGTAGAAATTCAGAGAGGCTGAAGAGATATACATAAATTATATGGAAAAAAACGTGTTTTATAATATATTTATATGGCATTCACTTTATGCCATGTATATTTTGGCCAGAGCGAAAAACCGCATTCGGTGAGACGAAACCACTGAGATTGTGATCATGCATCGCCCACAGACGGTGCTAACACATTGCAAAATCATGATAGTTATTCAAATAATACGGATTATATAAATATATATGCAGCATATCATGGATATGTCAGTCTACATTTTTAATTAACCTACAAGCCCTTGTTTTCATCGGCTTGAAAGGAAAAGCCATGTCATCATAATCGCTGAGTACTCATTCAAGACACTCTGCTGGGTGACTTTTCAGACATACGTAGGTTTTCGGCCATTTTCTTCGCTCTCGAATGGCGAACCAGTAACCAACAGGAAGTCAATCTAATCGGTGAGTACGGCTTTCTTCGCTTACCCACTCTTTTCAACAACGTTGGAGGTCCATCTGAGCTAAACTATCCGTAGCACCCATCGCTGTGTGTGGTCCCAGGATATAACCTTCTGTGGTCCATTCACTTTGCCAGTTCTGACTTTGTCGGACTGATTTCTCACTTTTAGTCGACGCCGCAACGCGCGTTTATTCGAATTGTTTTAACTTGTGGAGGTACCGTTTCATCAGTGCTCGCTGCAGTTGCCAGGTCGTTGGTGGTCCACTTCTACGAGAACATTTATTTGATCAGAAGCCAATAACAGCAGCGACAACCGCCCAGATAGACAGCCGTTAATAACAGCTTGATAGAAATCTCTGATGCTTAGTGCCCGCTTCAGTCAGTCAATGGCGAAGGAAACCCCATGACGCGAACTGTAAAATCATAGTTTTTATATATGCGCCTCCGTATCGTTTGACGTCTATTTTAAAGGTATTGTCAATTGACATGGCTTTCGCGTTAGCGTTGCAGATAGTGTACTATTTGAGCTGCGTCACGTAAAAAAAGGTTACATTTTGAACGGATATTACGAGCTAGCTTTTTGTATTAAATATGAATTCGTCCTCAAAATGTCTATATTTGTGGATATGGCACATTGTGATGGAATGGTTGTACTAAAGGGCACGGTAGACGTCAACTGCGTCACCAACACTGACCCAGCAGGTGGACCTTTTCTATAAACGATTTGTCCACGGTAAAAAAGCTACGGTTAATTACTTTGTCGGTGAATAATTTGTTTGTCACCCATAGCAATTAGATATGACTATACCGAACGAATGGAAATAAACAATACACTTCTCTACTTTGATATTAAAACGACTTATGAACTTGTTTTAGGAAGTCAAGATAACGAAATACTTTTTTTTTGCACGAAATTACATTTCCATCATTTTGTTACCTTTTTCTTCTAATCATCACAACTATAGGTAGAATCTACTCGAATGATGCGCTATTTTTAAAAAAAAAAGTAATCAAATTTGCCTAACTTGGAAGAAGAACAATAATGGACGAAAAGAATGAAAATAGAAGTAAATATACGTGTTAGTTCCCAAGATGATTTTATGAGGTCATATGGTTAGTTAAACTGGTGATTAAAAAATCCCGGGAATTCGAGCAACTAGTGGAAGCTCTATGCGCGTTTCTGCAAATTAATGTAAGAGGCGAACACGTTTTTGCTCAAGGCTCTGACGTGACCGTTACTGTTCTACTAATGTGTGGGTACTTAGGTTCGGAACTCTTACATTTTGGAGTCGTGAGATATCAGACAAAATCGAGCGCCTTTTAAGTGTCGCTCCAAGCGCTTTTTTGTTTTTCAGCGCTTACTGAGTAACATTATTGTCCTCAACTAAAGCTAAGGTTTACCTTACAGACCTCCGTAGGTTCTCCTGAAGACTGTACCTCCTTTTTTATTATCTCTTGAATATCATAACTTGTTTAATATCAGTGGAAATTAAATTGAAAAAAAAAAGTTTTATTACCACTACAAAGTTTGTTCCATCTAAGTAAGTTTTATGGCCACAATTTCTATTATATTCGAACATACTGAAGTTAATTTGTGTGTATGGCAGGAGAATAAAGGTAACGCATCAGTATACTTTGAATATTCCAAGAGTAGAGCACATATGTACATAGTATTTATTAACGCGTAACTCCTCGAGTGAGTACTCGAAGAGAGTCTTTTAGCATGGTCCTATATTCGATGTTTTGTGGAGATCGTCTGATTTGCTCAGGTGGAGGCGAGTTCTCCAATTCGTGTAAGATACTGAACGAACTGTCACTAACTGCCGAATCTATGAAAATTAAAACACGCCAAGAAAGAACGCTTATGTAAGTTAATTTAATAATGCTCATATACCCTAATTACCGTTAATTACAGAATTGTAAAACGGAAAATCCTATTAGAGAGGTGTGCACCTATTACATATGTCCATAGACACATATTGATACACGTTAAATCCGGTAGATCAGCACCAAAAAACAATGAAAGCACAATAAATATGATATAAATATTTATAAAATAATAAAACCTAAATATTTATTTAATCGATAGTCTCGATTATTTGAATGAGCCGCACACTTGTTTAATTAGATAACTAACAGATCAACAAACCGTCAAATAGAAGATGGCGTCCTTTATCTGAGAGATTTGCTAGAAAGCAGAACGGTAGACAAAGAAGCTGAAAGCGGCGAGTTTCCGAATCCTCTTCGATGTTTTCGTCAGTACCGGCTGCCGAATCTTGTAAACACGATAAAAAGGCCTTCAGAAGGCCGCCCAGATCCTCGACGCAGGGCTCAAGTAGAGGGGCAAATTGTGTTTCGCACTCGAGGTTATATAAGATGTGCCAGTAATCTTCTAGAACGGCACACTCTGTCCTGTATTTAATGTGTGAAAGCCATTGAGTAATCAATGCAAGTAATCCAAATAAGCTAATGTGAAAACTCAGGCTCACGAACATGAAACGCGACAAATAAAAAATCTGTCGATGCGTAGGACTTACACTGGAAAAATGTTCTAGAGTCTATGGGAAGAATACATGATAAAGACAACTGGGAGAAATACATGCATTAGCACTGAGCGTACGTGGCTGGAATCTCTAAAAAACAAAAAAAAATAACTAAATATGCTGCGTTTGGGGCAGTTGGTGAGCGCGAATGCCCTTATAATTGGTAAATGCAATAATCAGCATTAAGGATGACTCTCAATAAACGACGTTGGTATTTTCCAATAAATACGCTTTTTTAGCTTGGACACTTTGAGGACAAGCTGGGAAAATAAACACCTGCAAAACGCGATTTTGTTCTACCTATGTGTCTTTGTACTTTGTCTTCGCTTTATCAGAAGGGCGACTCGATTACTTACAGCATTTGCATCGCTGCAGAGCTCAGGGCTCGAACGAAATCTACATTAGCCAATGCAGCGCTCACCTCCGGATGAGCATCGCAAAGTCGATCTACTAACTTCAAGGTAGAACTCACCAGATCTCCTAGAAAAATCAAAAATTAATTAGGAGGAAGTTTTGAAACCCAACAAAAAATATATACGTCCCATAATTAACATTATTTTTATCAATAAGGCTTCTAATTTGATTATAAAATTGTCTGTTGTGAAATAAACCAACTTCTGATATAACCAAAATAGCACATAAAACTCTCTCTGTTTGAGTAAAGCTAGCATTTGCGAAATATACTAAAAACGTTCGTTCGACAGTTTTCTAGCGATTCTATGAAATATGAACTGAACTATCTCGACAGATTTTCGTCTATCATAGTTAAGGAAAACGTCGAGAAAGTAGTTGCTATTAGACAATTTCATAGTACCAAGCGTAAATGTCCAGCTGTTAAATTAAACAGTAATATTGATAATATATGACAAAGTCTGAACCATTGAGTGAGTTCAGAAGGATCGTCTGTAGATGGTCTACGGTCGGGGCAAGGTTTTCGCGTATCTGTTCAATCCAAAGGGGTCCTGTCGACGGATGCGCGAGACAAGTCCGCAGCAACCGAGATAACTGAAGGAGAGCGGGCGCGTCGGTACTACCCAAAAGCCAGAGGCAAACGCGGCTAAAAATCCAGAAATAAACATTGACCGCAATCATCATTATACGCTAGGCGCTATATAGCTGCGCACGTATATATAGCACTATTGCAGCTATCCACTACGTACTCTAAAGAACATACGATTCATAGAGTAATACAGTACAACCTAAACAACTTTAAAAATGTCTTGCAGCTTTACGTCCGGTACTGGAGATTGTTGAGAGTTACTTCAGCTATATAGCTTTCAGCACGGAATGCAGTGTATGTCTATGACCAGTTATAAATCTAAAACACCTCACGTGTCCTCAAATTTAGCAGGCAAACATGACAAAGTTGCACCATCACAGTTCACTGTACATTTGTGCAATTTCTCCAGAATGTATTGGTACAGGCTACCGCCTCAGATAAACTTAATTGGATAACGGTTACTGACATAATTGGAAAAAGACACATGTTTTTCACTAAGAATAATACACAATTTTTTCAGGAAACTGCTTATACCGCACAGAAAATCCATCCGACTAGCACAAAAAAAGATTACATAATATACACTATACCCGTTACTTTCTAAATTTTTTTCTTTTACAGCTGCAATAAACTTACAGAATATTAATATCAGGCTAGTTTTGGAAAACTAAGATTTTTTTTCTCTTTTTTATTCTGTCTAGCCTAATTATTTCCTCTGATCACAATTATTTTCGTGCTGAAATTGACTTCATTATGCGATTTGAAGGGTACAGGTCTTTGTCATAAACAGTATAAGTAAAATTGTAATTAATGGAGTGTTAATATAATTCGCCGGTGATTGGTTTAGCCTTACATCAGTGAATCTGTCTTGCTAACTTGAAGACACGTCTCCTCGAATGTGCACATGTTGGCTAATATACCCAAAAGTATCTCAAGAAGTCGGGGTGCTTTTGTCGACCCCATTAGCTGTACAAACATTTCTGATGCATGAAACTCCTCCAGAAAAGCCGACACTTCCTATGCAAAGGGATGCAGTTGAAAAAAGACAAATTAGCCGAGTAAAGAAAGGCAAGAAATATTTAATAAATACAACGGTGCAACGTTTCATCTTTGCCATAATAATGATGATTCCCTTCTGTTGCGTAATGTACCTGGTTGGCAGACATGTCCCAAAGTGTACAAAGCTGCTGTTCCAAATCCTCGCTAATATTTCCCATCTCCTCAGCGCCATCCTCACTTAAACATTCGCTTTCCACTTGCTGAAATGGACCCAGCATGTTCAAAGTCAGACGAAAATCGTACAAACTAAATTTGCGTTTTGAAAACAATTTATGCAGGTAATGACAATAAGGACATCACATACTGCTGTCATTCGAACAACTTTGATATAATCAATTTTGCGTTATGTATTCTCTCGTTTTAGTGGCATTTTGCTGTAATTAGTAACTGTATTATCGACTGCCGGTACACCTTAATAGCATCGAGCAGGCACTGAAATAGCCAGCACTTCGAGAAGATCGTATTTCCAATGCTCGTTGACGTTTCGCCTGATAAAGCGGTCCTGGCGTCCGGTGGGGGTGATGGATTTCGGTCTGGAAAAACCAACTCAAAGGTTAGCGTCGTCAGGAACCACGATGAGGTATATGAAGCAAGTCCTGTTCTCAAACAGTCCAATATGCTGCGCGTGTACGATATCCCTCTGTACTATTGTACTTAGCACGGTTAACTGCTAAAAGCAAGCCGTCTGAAGTGATACCTAACGATTTTAGCATTATATGTAAAACATGGGAGAAATTTTTTAGCACAGAAACTTACAGTCAGTGGTAAAACTACCGTATAGCGAATACAAACCTTGGTACTCCATACTGATTCTAGCAGCTTTTCAATTCGGCGACTTCATGGCCTCTGGACAGGACACTTATTTAATCCCTGTTAGTCTTCTGATAAGACACGACTACATTAAACGTTCACTCCAGCAGAGGCAATGATCGTTGAATTCGACTTTCGAAAAAACGGGCCAGTTTTACCACACGCTTTTAACTCATTTGTTGACAAGCGTCACGCGCGATCGTTAACGATTCGGCAAAGTTGTGCTCGTAATAAGGTGTTGCTTCACTAAGTATATAAAGCTACTTCTCACTGGACTCGATCCTAAAGGCGGAATAAAACAAAAAGTAGACAAAAATCCAAAATTTCAGAAGTCACCTAAAAAAAAATAACAAAAGCGAGCCCAAGATCTTCCATTTAAAGCTGCCGGAACTGTTTTTCACAAATTATTCAATGCTGCCAAGCATGCATTGCTAAAGCATACCCTTTATCCGATTCACGCACAAAAATTATCCCTTAATAATAAGTGTGTTTTTAACACAGTTAGATTCGGGCGCTTTGTCACCGGAACAAGATCAGCTGATTGCCAAGCCAACATCGACACTCTCATGGAGCGCGAACACGCGTACTTCGTGGTGCTACCAGCTGAGATAAGTATCTGGTATCCAGCAAACCAATATATTTTGGACGAGAAATTATTCAATCAATGGAGAGCCGCTCTATCCACAATAGGAGCTTTTATAATTACCGAATAAGACAGAATTTGTTTTCAAGGGTTTTTGTCTGCCATGTGCAATTATTTACTTCGTTGAACTGACGCTCTGAGGCAGCGGCGGCGGCGTCGTCTGCATAGTGACTGTACTGGGTCAAGTGGTGTTCGAAACGTTCGAACTATGGGAACGACGCATCATTAATAGATAAACATAAAACAGCCCAGCGGTAAATCTCGACAAATCGGCATTTTGGTGTCCTTAATGTATACCTACTGTCTATCGAAAAATGTTGAATCCTGAACGACTGTTAATGCCCCAAATGCATAACTAATGAAAGGGTTTCGCGGAAACAACATCATGGGATCTGAGGCACTTGGCTAAAGATGTGTCCTACAATTAAACTTGGACAGTGAACAGCGTACTTTGGTTAACAGTGAATTATGCGTGTAAAAATGCTTTGAAAGTGGTATACATTTACAAGCTTAAATTAACATCGAACAAAGCTTGGTTATGGCTTTGCTTTTGAAGTTATGTTCTACACGGAGCTGTCGGAGCTTCCGAGCTAGGACGACCGTACTTAATTTGTACTTGCGTCGGAGCTTGAGCATCGGAAATGACAAGTTCGAGAGATGGAATTTCCGAAATCGGACCACAATTTACTATACAAGCTCAGTTATATTCCTTGTCAGTGGCCTGAGTTATGCCGCAGTTCCACTCTACAGAATATTCTGTTCGGTAGGTTTTCAGAAGTTAGTTACATAGCAAATTTTCTTTCAGCAGGCATGTGGGCAGTGAAAACTCAAGACAAAATACAAACAAAGCATTGATTTAATAAAAAAAGGTTTCAGCGAAGTGTGTACGTGGGTGATTGTAAAATCTTTGTTCGTCCGAAATTTAAAGGTGATAATTATACTTTTCTCGTTTACACCTGACCTTACGACTGCATTAGCATGGGAAAAACATAGTTCACATGTCAACAACATAAACCAGCTAACTGTATGCAGCAAGTACTACATTAAATAGACTTTCAGCTACGACAAAATGCGTTACGCTCATAATCTATCATATACGTTTTCAACTGCGCCGGTTTCAGCAAAGTGGACTAGGAGGACAAGCAACACTTTTAGGAGACAATGATCCCTCGAAGAAAGTTGCAGAAATGAATGTCGTTCCCCATCGGGAAATTAAAGTCAACTTTCAAGCAGACACTGCGTCCGGAATGAAGTACTATCTTTAGACGAACATATAATAAATGTACTTTTTAGATTAACCCACTGAAGGGAAGTGATTCCATAAATTTTTCACATGTATTTACTAGACAATTTTTAGAATAATATATGTGATTCTAATACTAAAATAATATGAAAGCGTAATAAATTGTGTTTCCGCTGCACAAGTTTCGTAGAGCACAGTTATACGAGGTGTGAAATTAATTCACTGTAAATTTAGGCTAAGAAGTATTTTTTTACTTTTACTTCTGTTCCGACACCTTGCTATTTTGACAAAGCAATAATAACAGAGATCTGCATTTTGTCTAGGTGGAGCTTCCGACCGCAGCAATCTGCAGTATACGTCCGTCCCGGTGAGACTGCACTAGCATTTTATTCCGCAAAAAATCCGTATGATGAACCCATTGATGGAATCGCTACATATAACGTACTGCCCTTTGAAGCTGGCAAGTACTTTAACAAGATTCAGTGTTTCTGCTTTGAGGAGCAACGTCTTAATCCAAATGAAGAGGTGAAGATGCATTTCTGTATTTATTAAACGACTACAAAATTACCATTGAAATTTTACTGACTAACAAAAACCTATTTTTGGTTCCTTATTTAAAAAGATGTTGTGCTTAGACTCTTTTTCCCATTATTTCATTCTTTTACGTATTTCATTTGCTGTAATTTGTTAAACTGCTGTTAAATTAACAAAAAAATTTGTTAAACGTACTTGAAGGGGTAAACTTTGACAACGCTTTAGTGGATGCGGCTCTATTAACTGTTCAAAAAATGTTTCTTCCTGTTTTATTTTTTTCTCACGTATTAAATAAGTCACAACGCAATGCACTTTATTGTTGACTGCTGGGACTCGATTTCAGGTAGATATGCCCGTGTTCTTTTACATCGACCCGGACTATGCTGAAGATCCAGGACTGGAAAATATCAATGATATCACACTTTCGTATACTTTCTTCCAAAGTAAGCCTGGGTTTAAACTGCCTATACCCAGAACAGGCTAGTGACACAGCAACGGAATCACAACGTGACATGTTGTTGAAACTGTTGTAAATTAGGCCTTTACATCCGATTAAAGGAAGCCGGTTAAGTCGCGTGGACCGTGTACTTTGGGTTAATTTCTGTTTCAAGCAACGCATTATTGTGCATATAGCTTTAGAACAGAATATAAATACAAAATATAACATGTTAAGCTTGAGCCCTAGAAAACTATTGTTTTTTTTTAACAGCCAAGTAATATATAAGAGAGTTTCTAGGCGTCGTATTTCCATGCCAGGACATATGAATATTGACTCCATTAATGTCGTAAAAATATTAATTAAAAATGTCGATTGTAAGTTTACCAGTAAACGTATAATAACTAAAGAAGGTGTAATATATATAAAAAGTAGGTCAAATAAGTAATATACATAAAAAGACCACACGATTGTATACAGGTAACACAGAAATATCTAGTTTTTCTGAAAAAAGGCTTACCTTTTACTTAAACTAGTAGAATGGTATTTTCATCTTGACAATCAGTTCTCGGTGAAAAAGCATTACACTTTTCATCTATTAATATGAAATATCAATAGATTGTGAAATATCCTTAATGAGCAAAGACTATGTACACACTTTATTTAATGCAAAAGTACAGTAACTGAAAAATAGTGAACGTAATGTCTCGAAATGTATGTAACTTGTAGCGTTGTCAACATGATAACCTCTCCACTAAGCAACTCCTATTATAATTGTTCGTTACGATAATTCTCAACAACGGCATCCAGCTTGAGTAGTTGCTTATGAGTAAGGCAAAGTTTCTGAGTAGAAATAATTTGGGATTACAGCATTGAATGTATGGCACTAGCGTTTGACAAGAACGACACACCAATTACCCTCATCGTAATACTCTTTTTCAATTACTACAACAGGCGCTTCGTTTTCTTCGTTATTAATTAGCTCCACCAAGGATTGTAGTTCGCCCTCACGGAAGATATGATAGAATCGGTGCTTAACTTGCCCTTCCGAGACCTTAGTCCACGGGACTAGAACATCTGGTCCTGCAGTAAAATCGCGACGGTTTGTATGCACTGGAATACTCAGCTACACAGATAAGACAATAATCGAACAAGAAAGTTATTTTCAGAAAAAAAAAAAGTAGTATCTACATACCGTTGCCACCGCCAGGTTATCAAATGTAGCATAAACATGATGACAAAATACACAATGTCTACGGCGCCACGCCCCAACTTTATTTCAAAACTGATATTTGAAGAAATCAGTATAAAATAAATCGGATTTGACGTCTTATATACCGACTACACTCGAGTTTACGAGTTCGGTATTTACCTTCGTATCTCCAACTTGGACGAGTGCCGTCTTACTTGCACGGAATCCGTTGGACAGTATTTCTGGGTCGGAAGAACCCTTCATTGACTTTAACCCACTGCACATAGGAGTATAGTCTTCGCCAGTGCTTCCCTGTCCTGCAACAGCATTTTCCATGTTTAATTCAATTGGCGGGCCTGTACATTTTGTTTTTCTACTTGAATTCGCCGGCGGTTCTGTTAGCCTTTGCTCATTGACATTTTCTGTCTTTGCGATTTTCTGGGCGAATGATTCTTTAAGATATTTCGACTGAAATCCTGTATATCGCTGCTCCTTGGCCCATACATAAACCAGAATTTTTCCTCCGGACCGGACTAGCTGAATCAGTTGACTTAAACCTTCCCGACGACGCTCATAGTTAGCCAAGTGGTGCAGCACCGCGATGCAAATAGCAGCGTCAAATGTTCCCGCCCGAAGCGGCTGTTGTAAACAGTCTATTAACGCCACCTTTAATCAGCAAGCATTGCATCGAATTAGTAATAACATCGTAGTGAAGACATGCTCATTATTATCTTCTTTAAGCAGGCAATAGATTCTCTTTGCTGACTATTCTGTTAGCCGCATCCTTAGAAAACGCGTTCAAACACTTGCAACGGCTCATAGCGAGACATATGTAATACAATATACGTGTATGTAAAATATAGCACATGAATAGTCGAATTAATTTTATGCTAGATTCTGCTGTTTATTCCATTTAATGATAGCGCCAAGAATACCTCGAGCTTTCTTTGGCGGCAGATGTCGAGCAAACCGACACTACGATCGGAGCCAAGAAACACAAGATCGGATCTCCCTTCGACACGCATGTTCTTTCCATTACCGCATCCGATATCAGCCACAAGTGACCCCCTTGGAAGAGATTGTAGAAATTCGACCACTCGTGGCCATTGCGCATACCGCGTTCCACTGAAATGCTTCGCAATATCATCATACACCTGAAAGTTTATGGGAATTTCATGAAGTTCGACGAAAATTTAACACCCAAACACACAATATATATATATATATATATATATATATATATATATATTGTGTGTTTGGGTGATATTATTGAGGAAGTTTTGTTACCTATGATTCCCAACAAATTTTATGATTAAATATAATACATATAAATAAAAATAGGGTTTATTTTTGATGAGTCAAAGTGCTCGCGTAATAGATATATTCAAAGAATGTCTCCTTCTCATACAATCATTACCAAAGCAAGATACCAAAGGGACGATATTTCTCAGCTGACCAATTTACACAACTGTAAGTTTATGCGTAATGTAAACTACACAAATTAGCCCAATTAATGCAGAAAAAATGTTTAAAATCTCAACCAAAATATCTACTGCCAAAGGAATAACTAATAGATTTACGTAGTTTCGAATTCCAAAAATTACCTCATGGACGTGCATCTTCTCCAATTTGCTTGCTTCTCGGTCTGCCAAAGATAACTGCGCAGGTGGATTCCGAGAAAATCGTGAATCGCACAGGTTCGGAAAATTGCACTCGCATGGCTTCTCACTACTGCGAACTTTTCGAAACGTGAAGGAAGTTCGTTCATTTCGAGCTACTGCTACTGGCGGAAGGTCTGGCTGACCTCTCGGAATCAGGTCATACTTGCGAGGCGCAATACTTCACATCGTATGGTTTTAAACGCGCGTATCATGAAAAATCGAAAACACCATTAATTTACAAATATTTTCCTCATAGCTGACTGAAACCGTTCAGCAGGAACTGAATATTCTGTGCTATGCTTCAACTAGGGTAAATAAGCCTAGACGAATGGAAAAACAAGCCTATTATGTGTTTCCAAGTGAAAAGCATTTTTTACCTATTGGTCTATAGCATTCTAACAGTGAAAAATATATTATTATTGAACGCGTCTTATTATTGAACACTAAACACTATGGTTAGGTATGATTACTTTAGAAATTCATCATTAAACCTAAACTTACCTATGCGTCCAACCATAACGACTTTCGTCAGCCATAAACATAATGCTGCCACGAGGAACAAGCACAGATACGGCGGATTGATTCGCCCCATCGGTTATGCGACGAAACTCCATAACGATATCTCCGCCCAAAGATACAATCACTATACATGACGTGAACATCGAGTGTGTATCACAGTGTGCTGGAATTCCTAATGTCCATCAATATGGCCGGTTTATTCATACGTATCTATGATCTGCTCAAACTACTTCAGACTTGAAGACACGGCTTAACGGAATGCTCACAGATAGGCTGAAACATATATTATGCGATTCTATATACAACAACTGAATGCAGGCTAGTTATATTTCCTATTCTCATTTAAAATCGGAAACTTCAATTCACAACGATTTGAGACGTGTTTGAGCTAATTCGTAAAATATCCGACTTAATTCGAGGTCACCTATATAAAACAAAGGCGGATATTGATCTCCCATCAAGTGTGCTCGTATTTGAACATAATGAACATTTACATATTTATATATGGTAATGATTGAGAAAGCCTAGCTTTTGCTAAAATACGACAATTCATTACAAAACATATTGGAAACGTGTCCCATAGTCGAATATGATAATTCGAGCGTTAACTGCTTGCCGATAACGCGGAAAGCAGCAACAAATAAGCCTGAAAAACTCAAAATTATAAAAGATATTTACCTTCACCGGGAGAATATCTGTTGACGGTGAGTTGATTTGGCAAGTGTTTTTTATCCAGAAGCCCTTCTTGGTGCAAACTTTCTACAAACTGTAAGCACAGTGGTGGCAATGACTTATCACCCAGGGGCTGATCTCGTCTAACACCGTTAATTGAATAATCAAAATTATAGCCGAAATGTTCCACCTGGCGGTTCTTTAATGACGCCGTAGACTGGGGTACACACTTATAATCTGGGGAATTCGGCGATATCACACAAACACATAAGCACATGATTCACTATGGTGGATATGTATTTTATATGAACTAGAGCACAGCCATCAAACGTAACAAAAAGAAAGGCATTTTTCGTAAATTATTCCCAAGCTGCTATTTGTTTCCTATTAACTAACACATGCGAAAAACATGATTCATTTTGATACCTACAGAGATACGTATGCGAAATGGTGACCGCACAGAGATGATCTTTTTTTAGTAAAGTGATTGTTAATTGTCACATTCCTGCAGGCTTTTAATCACAAATAAAAAAACCCTAACACAAATGGGGTTATATAACTTCATTCATTACTGAAACAGAAGGTGTAAAAATAACAACCGAAACAGTACCTACCTGTTGTGTTTTCGGCAGGAACCGCTTTATCGTACTGCGGCCTGAGCAGTTCCAGCCACTTCGGTTCCTCTTCTAAACTAATACGATTTTGTAAAATCTTCAGTCCGGGAGGAAGAGGCCCGAAACTCAGGCCGGGTGTATCAACGGCTACAGACAGCATCGAATTCGACCAATATTACTATTAGGTTGAAATTATCGATGTAAAAACGTTATTTATTGAAATAGGCAACAGTGTCGTGCTAAATATGCCAGTATATATTAACAACAATCGCTGGAATGCGTGTTTTATATGAACGAAGTTTATTAAACCGAAGAACATATCTGCGTGATTATGCAATGACGTTATAGTTGTGCTATATGGGCCTGAACTGAAGGGTGGCTATGAAATGTGCATTGTTCGTAAACGCCAAATAGCCGAGGTAGACCAATACAAGTCTATAAATTCTCACTGACTCTAACCTCGATCGATGTAACCGGCGTACACTGGTTGGTTTCCAAGAAATTCGAAGCAGGCCCTGCCAGACAAAGCCGTCACCACCTGCAAAAATGACTACACCAAATTTATCTTCAACATTTTTTAGTGTCAGATAGTCCATATAAAGCACGCACCTTTGCTTAATAGCAAATATACGAAGCAAAATTAACTAACCTCTTCCGCAATTTCGACTGTGATACATTGTAGAAAGGAGTAATGTTTGTCTGGTAACAGAATCGGTTGGCAAGGCAGAATTGTCGCTTCATCACGACTCCGACAAGAATCCGGCAATGCCTTCAAGATAGCCGAAGTCGTAGCTCCATTGGCTAGGCCTGCATTCGACAGCACCACGAACTGAAAATTAAAATGGTGATGAGATTGATTTTAAAAACAGATTTTCGATATATTTGCCACGGTCATATCCTAGCATACGTAAAATATATACTATCTGAAAGAAAGATATGAATTTCACGGTTAAGTGCAACCACAATATTCATTGTCGAAGAAATCGGTCTTGTTATTTGTGTGGCTATACCGTTATGGGGTAGTAATCAACAAAATCTATGAGTGTTAAAAGCAGTCCACACGGAGAAGCTATGGTCTACAACTGCAGTCAAATTCGCGTTAAAAAAAAAATGAGTATTTTTACCTTTCTGTAATACTATATATTCTTGAATATTCGGATTAGATATTCTAATTTTTGCAATCCGTATTACCAGATAGGCTAAATTACTTTTAATATATTAAAAAAAAAACATCTCAGTATTACGATGGTTCAGTTTAATGAATTAGAATATTAAATACTGTAATATACCTTAGTTGGGCTTGGTGAGAGTTTCGCTCCTAGATCCTTCTCAACGCTATTCATAACTTTCAAAAGTTTTTTATAATGCTTTTTCTCGAATATATGATCGGTCTTTTGACGGGCTGATCTTGCCTTGAGTACTCCCATCGCAGGTTTGTCGGTGGGGTCAATCCTACCAGTTTGATTAGCCAGTTTGCTAAAACTAATCCACAAGTCGGCACAATATTGAAACTACCACACAGAATACTTCACGCTTTGCCGGGCGTGCGTCTAATAGTGGATCACCAGCTGATCGCCAGCTGTGAAAGAACGGGCCCTAGAGGATGGAACGAACTTTAAATGACGGAATCATGTCAACAAAGAAGCAGCGCTATCTCATTCAAAAAAAATGAAACAATTTTTTTTTTATAGTTACAAGCTGAAAAGTGCCCAGTGAAAGACAATGGCCAAAATCAATCATGTTTATGATTTTCTCTGCCTACAGATTCGCTTTACTCAGAAAATTGTTGGACAGTTATGTTTCGCTTACTCAGAAAACCATTATCTTTGGTTGCCTTTAATAATTATAGGCTTTTACATATTTATAAGCAAGTCTAATTTGGGATTGTTTTTAGAGGTATCGAAGTCGAAATCAAAATAAATAGAGTAAATATTCTGTCAATCAAAAATAAACTGAGGAGTTTTACCACTATCGCTTATTATGCGTCATACATCAAACCTAGTTGCTTTAAGTTGAAATAAGCATACGTTTTTTAAAGTATTGCGGTTAAAGATTTCGCCAAAAAAACACCAGAATAGAAACGTTTTAAATAACTTTTGCACTTATGAATTGAGCTGCTGGAACCACGTCTCTTGATAATTGAATCTTTTGCCTGCGTCTAAATCCTGTGCGAATCTGTTCTAGAGGTCATCATTTGTGCATTTTAAATACTTACGCATCGGTGCATCTTGCAGTACAAAGTTTTCTACAAAACTCCGTCTTGTACATTGTCTCCCCACAGTGCTTGTGAGTTTACCCGTGAGAAATACCTAGCATTCACGTTTGATAAATTTGAATTTCAAGTTTTCCCGCCATGTATCCAGTCTGCAGTTCCAAGTCGTCAAGCAGCCGCCGTTCTGCTTATTGACCCTATTTGTAAATAATAGGAAAGAAGTTTCTTCAACCTATCGCCTATGTTCTAATATATCAGTCAGTAATAAAAATACTCGTAGTAACCAAAGCAAAAGTGCACATCTGTGTGCAGGTGCAATATTTTCCCGGTAACCCCCGTGCAGACGAGCCGGAATTGACATTTTCACCGAAACTTTTTGCTCACCTGGCGCTAGCAGTGCTACCTCATCAATGCGGGCCGCAACGGACATTTCAGGAGTGGAAATCCCCCTAATTATCCGTGTTTTCCTGGCTCGTGTCAGTAAGAGTTGTAGTGCATTCTACGCAGTACATAAATGTGTTTTCTTTTTATTTTAGAATACGCAGTTTACCCTAATTCGATCGAGTCCAGCTCGGCGAGCTGCTTCTCGGAGACAGCTTGTGTAGTGTTCTGTTTCCCTACGTCGACAGGGGGTGAGTGAGTAACGTCAGAGGTTATTTTTGAACAGACAGTGATCTGGAAGCTGAAGCCCATATTAGAAGAATAGGTGTTACCCCGAGGGGTGTCATTCAGCTCTTTGCTGCCTGTAAATTTTTTTCAGCGCAGCATCTGGTCTGATGAAAGAATTAATTTGTAAGAGGATAATGCGATTCAAAGAATAGCTTCTGTGAGATATAACATGTTTCGAATGTCACAGTGATTCGTAACTCTTACGTAAGGATTTGAGTCTGATGTTGGTGAAGTTGGAATACTCTAAGACGGGATTACCTCAGGGAATTACCTCTAAATAGTGAACCAAAATATAGTCGGCATGGTATTAATGCTAAATGGAGTTTAACATGCCGATAGGCGATAGAGGACACTAACACGTAAGCGCGGTTGTGTTTTTGAACCGAGTTTTTGCATGCACTCTTCATGTGAAATGTGTATTTTGTAAGCTTTATTATCTGCAGAAGTTTTCTTTAACTGGTTTAACGATTGTATTAGTTCCTTGTGTTAAAAAAAATCATGGGTTTTTGTAAGAAGCCATTTTTTAATTGGAAAAACGTTTCTAAACGATGTAAATCTTTATTAGGCCTATACGGATCGTTAAGTCGAAATTAAGATTACAGAGTAATGCTCCTGGCATGTGTTACCAATCGACACAGTTCAGCCACAAAATAAATGTTGCCGGTATAACAGACAGTCAATCTTAGGGCGAAATCTCGGAATTTCAGTTTTGTGCGGATTTCTTTTATATATTTCACAACAGTTCTAACAAACGAAAAGAAAGAGAGAAAGGGTTCATTACATTAGTATATAGTCAAACAGTTACGAGTATTTTGAGTTAGATGTTACGCTAAGTGTGTTCATTGTACGTAACTTTGAAATATCCGATTTTACAGGACGAGCTGACTTCTGCTAAGATATGGCTATTGCTATTCATATAGGCAGAGTACGAGAAACGCGACTAAACTCCGTCCGGTTCTCTACACTCAGCTTTGCAATAATCGTGTTGTACGCGACACTCCAGGTGAGAGGATTTTCTATGCCATTTTAACGAGTAGTTGCGGCGTTAGAAAATATTTAAACGAATAGGTCTTCCATTGCGCCACAGTCTAATTAGGACCTTGACTAGTTTACGCCTAGCGAACGTCTCTAAAGGACATAGTAGATGAATGAATTTTCATCGGAAAAAGTACCTTTTCTCACGTGGAAGAATGGGTAACAATGGAAAACCTTAGGTTTCGACCTTAATCCAAGTCATTTCACTATTCTACTACCGGTGGGCCCCCAGTATAAACGTGGCAATGGTAAGACCAGAAAGTCCAGTTAAAGTCGTGATAAAGACAAGTCTTTGATGCTGCATTTAAAAGCAGGTGAAGCCAAGGACATGTTTACATAAAATATACGAGGTAGTACTAAATAAGGGAGAACAGTAAGGCTAGTTGGGCATACTTCACAACTGCCGCGGTCGCCTTCGAAGAGATTTGAAAGCTGAGACTTGTAAGGCACTAACCCAGGCCGAAAGCGCCAGCCAAGGAGAAATTCTCCTGGTTACGGCGGAACAAATACTTCTAACAAAATTTGTTCTATGACAGGTCAACATTCTGTCAGTAGAGTCATTACGCCCATGAAATTATTGCAACAGAGTTCGTTTTATTGCAGGTTTCGTGTGTACGGGCATTTTTTCCGGCCGATGAAACGCTGACCGGCAGCGTTGAGGGAGGCAAGTTCGCTCAGTATTCGGTTAGTAAAGCGGGCCGAGTTACTATTACTGTTGTACCAAAACAGGGAGACCCAGATGTTTACGTTGGAGAAAATGGTAAGTGTCGTCTGTAAGCTGATTGAGACATAATAGCACAGTTACGCATGATGACAATACTAGCATTTTTAGAAAACGGCGAGAAATGGGGCCATAAATCCAGTCGAGAGCCAAGAAAATGGTCCTGTAATTATAATTCACCAATTATTAAGAAAATGTGTGATCTGTAATAGAATTAGAGGTAAATTGAATATTGGATTATGTTTTTAGTTTTAACGTGAATTCAGCACCAGGAAAGGCTCCTTCATAAATTCATCGTTATATTGACCAGACATTTTTGCCCTGCTCTTCCAGGCACGGAGCCGGATTACGATCTCGATCGGCACTCATACCAAAGTACAACGTGCGGAGTTGAACGTCTTGTTGTGCCTTCGTTCGCTGTAAGACCTATCGGCATCGGTATATATGGGCATCCTTCGCATGAATACTCCATTTACGAGCTCAATGTTCGAGTGGGTAAAAGTTTCACTTTTGTTGAATCACATATATAAATGCTTTTGCTAAAGAAGCTGAAGTAATATTGAAACAGAGCTCCTATTATAACAACGACTACAAGATGGTATTTTAGGAAAAAGACTTGTTCGCTGGATTTATCGGAACATTGCAGTTTAGTACTAATATCGTCGAACGCGTTGCATTCCTTACATTCGATGTTTACCTAGCATTCTAGAACACAGATTAGAAGATAGAAGTCTTCGATATGTACAAGTTGATTTTATTTATGTGCAGCATTATGTTATCATACATTACGTCTCTATGATGCGACTTGTAAACAGAAACACGAATTTAATCTTAATTACGCTGGAAGTTAAACAGTTTTTATACTGCAATACTGAATCATGAATGTCTGTCAACATAAACAGGATCTTTATAATTAATGAATACGTAAGATATCAACTAACAACGACTCTCAAAAGGAAATTCATAAATTCTTTATTGTCTATCGAATATTTATCTTCCCGCAGATCGATGAGGAGCTGGACCAGTACGAAGATATGATTCATGGCGACCAGAGTTTTGACTCAATAGACGACGAAACATACGGCAACGTTCACGATGCTTCCGAAAGCCGAGACTACTACGGCGATCGAGCTGCCGGCAGTGAACACTATTCGCGAACGAAAGGTCGACGCAAAGCATCTTCGTCGCGCAGCGGATCAACAAGTACCAGCGAGAAAGGCGGCAACTCAATAACTAGCGATAGTGGTAATTCTGGTGGGTCAGTGCCAGATGACACCACCGACTGGGAAGACTGGGAAGAGTTCCCTCTCTACAATATTTTACTGACGTTGATCCGGCTGTTTTGGGAGATGCTCTTAACGTTATGATCGTACGTGTCCCTCGTACTTCTCTATTCACATCAAATCAGCCTCAGCCTGCCAAACGAACTGCAGCTACAGAACTGAATGAAAAACCCTCACGAGGTAGTGATATGAATGGAGCCGGGGGAGACTGATTGAAGTAAATGAAGTGCCACTGCTGTATTAACGAGGTGATCTGGGAGAACGTCGCAGCAACACGAATCAAGAAAATGCACCGTTGCTTCACAACGGCTTGGTGCCACTGCCGACCGAACGGTGCAGCGTGGCTTAACGTAGACCTCCACCAAACGCGTCGTATCGACACCGTTGTTGAACACAAAGCCGGGAAACACATTGCAAGAGAGTTTCACTATTGTAAATAAATTTTATTATGAATTTATCAAGCAAACATCAATAGATATTTAGTGGCAATTTTGAACTCAATATTTATTTTTATGATGGAGATGGGATTTAAGCGTTGTAGAAATTAAATCGATTACTACAAAAATTAGAGAAGAATATGCCACGGTTCTGGGAAGCAGTAAATAAAAATTGTATAGGATGTTATTTAGAACGATAGCAGGAGCCAAACATTAACAAACTACAATTTTCTGTGAATAGACTGAAATCATAAGAATATTTCTTTAGAATGCCGCATTGCTGCACTGGTTTGTCCTAAGTGTAAGCAAGGATCCAAAGATACCAATTTTAATACATTACAGCCCTAAATAACCGTAGTTCATCGCGCGGTATGAGCAAACGGTGATAAACACACACAGAATTATGACCGGCCAATTACGCATATTCCTGATTGTCGCTTTGAATTGTCGCATACAAGGCGGGCTATTGTCGTTGATCTTTGTTTCAGGGCAGCGTAAAATTAACTTGGGCAAGTCGCGGCAAAAAAGCCGCGATTTTTTTATCATTGTACGTTTTACCATCTCAATTTCGCTTTGAAAACCTTCTATTAATGTTATTCACGAAGAAATCCTATTCAGTGTGATCTCAGCTGATCCCCATTCTATTTGAAATTGGCGATGTCACTTAACACAACTAATTGTTTTTACGAATGGTAAGAACATCTGTTTAGAACTATCTCATTTATGTTTGAACGTGGTGCTTGCGTATACTGACGTGGACCACCACCTGACCTATTCGGTCTGTAGAAACAAAAGCATGTAAAATAGAGGGGATCCTGAACTAAGTAAAGATATGGAAAATATTTGCCATTTTGATGCATCAATCTGCAGTACTTAGCTTCTGCCCTGTCAAAGATGACTTTATCCTTTAATAGCAGATTCAATCGAAAACAATTTCGGACTTACATGAATCGACATTACGGCGCGTCGAGTTACGTAAATCAAAAGATCCGAAAGTGAATTATATACTAACACGCAGTTTTGGTAATCTACAGTTTTCCCCAAAAACCGAATATAAGAAGAATCATATAAGTTGAGGCCTCATTTTGTTGACACAACGGCGTTACACTACAGTGCTGCAGATAAGAAGGTCCAACCACCTATTATCCTATTGTTATTACCGCTGCCAAACATTCAAACGAACATGGGCGACAACACACATATGACCACATCAGTGAAATGCAAAAGAGTAGCGGCAGCAATCGCAAACAGTAATGCTGATAGGATTTAACAATGAATAAGAAGCCCGCCGGCAAGACAGACAAAATGTATAGACGACGGCCCGCTCATTTTTACCTGAATCACCTGCTTCGGGGCACAACGTTGTTCAAGCGTCCTACACGAGAAGACGACGACCGCCGTGTCACATTACGCAACGCACGTTGATACTGCGCACTTGTCTGTTGTTGCCAAAAACGTTGTCGCGCCACACATTACGCCAATCATTGACGAGAAGTAACGAGAAACGACTAACTTGAAATCGATCGCATTTCGAATATTTTTGATATAGTACAACTAGCACTAGTAATGCTATTTGATAACGTTTGTTATTGATACGTTACCATTACTATTACATAGTTAACCATCATGACCTCAGTTGGCCTTTACTTTGGTTGACATATCTAATACACCCGGCTATTACTATAGAAATACATTTGTACTTTAAACATGCTTTTATTGCATGGATTATTTTCACTGTGACCGTTATCATATAAGATAACGTCTAAGCAATAACTGCAAGTCAGAAGTGGAAGTGACTCGATCATTTTACAATTCGAGATGCAAATTTCATACTGATGGTAAGTGGGTATTATTTCAACCGACAGACACAGTAGCACACGAAGTATAACACAATACATGAAATCGCTGATAAATATGGACTAGATTTTTCCGTGCCAAGCTACAGGAGCAGAGAGTCTCCCTATTCAATTCGTCTTCGAGCATTTAACAATTCATCGAGTCGTTCTTTAACCCTGAGCAGAACGAAACAACTGATAATAGAAACCTGAATCGGTTTTAAGAAAGAGGAAATGTTAAGACGTTGTTTAACGAACCCTAATGATTATCACTGTGACTAACATACTAACGTTGCTATCGTACGTTAAAAAGTTGTTCATTGTAAACTATATAATACAGTCTAGTATATTCACTGAGGTCAGCAGGACAAGTAAGATCGAATGAGCAATAGAGTATTTTCCAGATAGTTAGCAGAAATGAATTAATTGTTAAATGAATGAGAGGAAGGAACGGACCTATTATATCTCTCAGTCTTCGTTAATGTACGTGTGATAAAGTTCTTGGCTAATTTGCGGTTAATGAAAATCATTAAGCAATGCTGATAATCGTCATCATCATTGTCATCATAGTATTGTATACATTCTGGCGCATAATAAAATAACAATTGTTCACGATTTTTGATCGATGTTCTTTTTTTTTTTTAGAAAATCCATACAGAATCTCGTGTTTTAGGCATGGGCGTATACTTGTACATTCATAACGTTTAGGTACTATAATAAATATTCATGTGCCCAATTCTTTGGTTTCGAGCTTCTAATAATAAATGTACCCTATCAGCATCCTTCTCTCATTTTTTTAATTAGTCTTGCTAAAGCGAATTATTATACCCGACTTGATACAACTGGGCTCTTCAGATTGTAAACTTACATTCAAAAGGTCCTTTAAAAGCTATCTTTCATAATCGGAATTCGCAGCTAATTAATTACCTGTAAACGTTTATAAGTCTGTTTTTTTTACTCGTAGATCGTCTGTTTCACAGACCAAGTTTTGAATTCGGTTGAAAGACCGGTCGAATGTATAAAAAATGATTCCCCCTGCCAAACCGTGCGTCTCTCAGTCGAACAGGAGGCGTTGTAAACTTCGCTTAATATATATCTAAGTATCTTTTGGGTTTAATTGCTTAAAGCAGTGTGTCTCAGAGATACTTAGAACGCAATTCACCATATTAATATACCTTTCGATCAGCCTTGGGATCCTTTCCCTTTGTAAGGATGATTTCGATAGATCAGAATAGAACTCAGTATTGTCTATGCGTTACAGCTGATAACAAAATCATGACCACGACAAGCTCCACAATACGGTGTGTAAACAAGGTCGTATATTTTCAACATAGTATGTGTACAACAGACATTCTCGTAATAACAACAAAACGTCGCGAAATCGCTGGCAACCTGTGGTTTCCTATCCGTTAAAGCTAGCTTCACTATTTTGGTAATCTGTGCCATCGGTACTCTCAGCTATTGGCGGAGTTTTGACACATTTGGGACAAAGATTACATTTAAGTGCGCATAGTTGACACAGTTGATGGTATGCCTTTTTGACGTTTTTTTGCTCGCATTTAGTGCAACGGCTTGCTACAGTTAATGGCTTGTATTTGCCATATTTGATCTTCCATTGGAGAATATCTTTGCAGCGGGCGCACACCCCTGAAAGTAATATAACGATGGATGGATTTAGTTCGATTTAAGAATTATCGTTTTTATCTTTTGTATACAGAACAACTCATCAAAACCACAATGGTTTATACTTTACGTAATTAAGGAAACTTATTTTAAAAACAACAAGGAATTTAAATAAGAAATTGTGAAAAAAAAAATCGACGAATGTAGAATAATATTAATTAGAATTGTCTTGTATCTATAAAACTATCTTTGATAAAAGTGAACGAGTGGTGCCTGATATCTGTAAATCTTGTACGGCTTTCTGCTGCCGTGTGAGTCCGTAAAGGCCGGTTCTGAATGCAAAAGTGTTCTGATGTTTCTGAGCTCGAGACCGCTTCGCTGGAAAAGCAATACATACATGAAAGTTTGTGATATGTATATTAACAAGAAGTTTACCCGTCAGATTCATTAGGCGCACTCTCTTGGTAACAGTGGAAAAAGCAGTCAATAAATAATATGGCAGTTATACGTAAGCCTCCTAAGGCTACTTTAATATAGAATTACTAAAATACAAGTTAAAGACAAGTGCCAGAAAGGCGTTATGTTTAGGGCACTTTTTTATTAAATGGGCAAATATTTTACGAGTATTGATATAAACGTGATATTCAGGGAAAATATTTTTTTAGTAGACTTTGTCGTAAGTGTAATTATCCTGTACTGTTAGTTAGGAACTATACAAAGCCGCAATGGGTTAACTGACTACCGGCTTCTATTCTTTATTTAAACTGCTGCATTCATTTAGAAATAAGAAACTTGTATTGTAATACTCCAAGGGATAACACTGAGTTGGTGAAACGAGTAGAAATGAAATTGTTCTACTACAACACAGAATCAATCATTAAGTGCAAAATTTTGAGAACTTTTTAGGATCCCTTTGAAAAATCAAATTTTCTCACAATGATCTAATTGGTTTTGCAAACTATTTCGATCGATTAAAACAACTAGTACTTTCTTCTCTTTTTGTGCACCGCTTGTTCTCGAAGTTATTATTATTCTATTATTTTCGAAAGATTATATTAGCAATCTTGAAACAATAAGCGTGAATGTTTCGTCATCTTACCGTTGGCAGTACTCATCGTATAGACAAAAAGGGGCACCTTTTATCGCTAAGATATTTCTATGATTCAGTAGAAAATAAACGCAACTTTTTCCCTGGTTCTGAAAACCAATCAGACCACGGTTACACACACACACACATACGCGTGCAAATACACCAGTCTCAGGCAATCAATATACCGAATTAAATTACGCTAGGCAAAAGCTAACTATTTTGTCTATTTTACTCCAAACACTCATAGTTCAATAAAAAAAAGACTCCCAAAAGCCAATTCCGACCATATTGCGGCAGGAATGCACGTGTGGTCATAGTTGGATGCGGGTTTTAAACGAAGTACTCCTTTTACCCACAGCGCGCTCGTTTTATCCATAAGTCGTTCCATATCCAAACATGTCGATTCAGTTGGGCCCATGTGAAGAGAGAGTCAGTCTGAGTATCAATGTGCCTGCCTTAGTCAAAATGGAACGTACCAGAACATCTATACTTTTGTATTCACGCAGGTTGGCCATACTGTTTCATTATAAATATTATATAGTTTGATATAGGCAGTGTCTACGATGAATAAAAAAAGGAGGGCGGCTTTATAGGATGACTAACTTACAGGAGTGTTTGACATGGCATCGGAGACACCGACTGCGCTGATCTCCAAAATAATGTTATAGAACTCTTCAAGTAACTTCATTTGTTAAGTAACTGTTGCATTCTAGTGAGAAAGAATGTTAATAATGGAAGCGAACGTAGCAATAGTTTTTTGTGTACGTCTTTTATTTATATATTGCGTACGTTTTACGAATCAAAAGACTAACTATGTCACCATTTTTTTTGTTTCTCTTTGGATTTATAATTTAACACAGGGTGCGTAAATAAACAGAGAAAGGTTTAATATAATCAGAATTTCAGTTCGTATGCACGTTTTTTTTACTGTCTGCGTTGCTTAGTTGATGCAGAGCCTGCTTTTGGCTTTTCACGCTGCAACAAACACAAAACGGTGCATTCCCTTCTTATGTAAAAGGTTTTGATGAAAAAACCTCATACGGTATCTTGGCCTGTTCATAACACTGCGATTTAAAAGATCATTACGCTTAACGATTTCTACACATGCTTTGTGTTTCTATATTTTAGGAAACTTACACGATCCAGTAAATTTCTTGTCTTACCCACGTTAAATCGTAGTTCTAAGGTAAGTGAATGATTAGCCATAGGGTTCTGATATGACCAGCACTTCGGTTGCTTACCTTACGGAAATAGTTTGGGTTACGAATTCGTGTATCATCTTGTCTACCACAGTACAAAGAATTACCGTAAACGTTTTTTACTTCCTAGATGCTCAAACAAAATCTATGATAGGGGCGCTCTCACTATTCCTAAAGGGCCAAGTGTGAATTATTTATACAAAAATAAAAAAAGACATTTACAGTATTTTGGTCCGATGTCAACGCCTCAGCTTTACTGAGTTGGAAACTAATTGTATATAGTAGATCTGCCTGCATCAATTAAAATTGTTGTTTATTCTCCCCAGGAGGAACGGGTGGACCTGGCATATCAAGTTTTAGGTGCCACCCATTCGACGGGCGTTGCGGGAAGTTTTGCACTTTTGCCGCTAGCGCACAAAGTCCTTGCTCGGGTCACAAAAATTATCGATCAGGAGCTTTCTGCCATTGGCGCTCAAAAGGTAAGACTACTCAACCATTATGATGTGCATGTTTATACGTATTAATGGAAAAATTACAAGGAACTCAACCACACTCTGATCGAGTTCTAGTCTACAAAGCAATTAAGTAAACAAAGAAGTTGGCTTTAACGTCGATTTGGACGTCTATTGTGAGAATTATTGCCCTAGTGCTTATGTACGATGTATTCAATTAACTCTAACCTTTCAGACCTAACGATACATGTGTGCCCTATAGAGGCAAAAAGCACTTCGAGCTCTTAAAGAAAAAACAGTAATCAGGAAAATATAATTTTGAGCCAGTTTAATCAATATACGTATATATATATATAATTTATTAACCTCTTTTCTCTCATTATTGTTTCATGCGCTTTGCTTATTATGTATTGAATATACACAATTCGTGGCCTCGGATGAATGGGACATGACTCCTTTCTATGATTATGTAGTACTTTGGCATTCTTTTTTACAATCTACCAAAATATAGTCGCCGCAGAAATAATGCAGAGTTACCTGTCAACCTGACAGTTTAATACCCATCAGATATTGCTTTATCAATTCTAATTTTAAGCATGACTATGGACTAGGTGAGCCTGCCGTTGTTATGTTCGGCAAAATCATGGAGGATAACCGGCCGATGGGACAGCTATGGTCCCGTGCTCTTCCGACTTAAAGATCGCTCTAATGCAGCACTTTGTCTCGGACCGACGCACGAAGAAACAATTACACAATGTATAGCAGAAATCGGAGCTTCTAATATCACCCCGAAATTGCCTCTCAAGTACATACTGAATATGTTATTAGTAGTTTGTAACACTGTTCCTTTTGTTACCTTATTAAGTGGTGGATTATTTTTGTAGAACATTTCATATGGATGGAACTGTGCGAGTTCGTGAAGCTGATATTTTTTCTCGTTATATATGTGCTAATTGCAAGATTAACTTAATTATACCGTACGTTCAAATAGAGATTCTGTAGAGCAAGCTTAATTCTTCTGTTAAGGCATACATCTTTGAATACCATATACCTGTTTGACTATACAGCTAAATGATTGAATGAACTGTAGATTTTCATTAATAGTGTTTCTGTTCCTTTTTGTGCGTATTATCTACTAGACTATACCAAATTGGCTGCAAATTCCGGGATGAACCTCGCCCGAAACAGAGCATGTTGCGAGCTCGTGAATTTTTCATGAAGGATATGTATTCATTCCACGCAACCAAGTCAGACTGCCGGACCACCTACAATGAAGTGACTGAAACGTATCATAAAATATTCCATCGAATCGGCCTGCCTTTTGTCAGAGCATCCGCCATTTCTGGGGATATGGGTAGGTACGAAACAATGACCCTGTCATATTCATATCTTTGACAGCAGCAGAAGTCGTGGAAGCATTTAGCTTTCAAAATTTACTTCAATATGTAATATCTTAGACAGTAATCGATTTAATCTTCCCCTGTCTATCAATTATCATCTCTAAGGTGGTTCACATTCGCATGAGTATCATTACGAACTAGCGGTGGGAGAGGACCGCGTGTTGGAGTGCCAACAATGTTGCGCATACTTCAACCTAGAGGTTGTCGCAGATGGTGAAAACACGGCTGACAATAACAATCATAAAAAGTACAGCTGTCCTCGTTGCCGAGGGGTTTTGGGACCAGAGAAAAATTGCGTTGAAGTGGGTCACACATTTGTGTTGGGAGATTTTTACTCGAAGAAGCTCGGCGCTACCTGCATCGTTGATGGAAAACAGGTATGTAGCCTTAGCAATGGCTAAACATTAAACGTGTTTGAAGCTGTATTAGTGGAAATAGAGAAACAGGTTTATTTTTCTATGTTATTTCTCGAATAAGTGACGAACAATATTGGATGATGCGTTAAAATCATTTTACCGTAGCTATTCATGACTTTGTTTCTGAAAGAACTGACTGTTCGCTGTTGCAGTAGAATTAACACTTTTAATTAGCGTCCTATATTGGTATAGGCATTGCTTGAAAATATGCTGCCTAGTAAACAATCAGCTTGTCGGACATTTGTGTGGTATTCTTTGGAATTGTTTGCAGGTGCCTTTAGAGATGGGGTGCTACGGAATCGGAGTCTCACGAATTGTGTCAGCAGCAGCTGCCCAGTTGACGAAAGGAGCGTCACTAGCGTTGCCAATCTCGATAGCTCCGTTTACCGTAGCCGTGATAGGTCCCAAACCAGGAGCCGTTGACTCCGATCAGGAGACTGCTCTAACTGAAGAACTGGCGAGAAAACTGGACCTGGTTCGTTCTAGCACACTTCTCTACGGCCAGTTAATACTATATATTATTCTATAAGTCATATTCTGTCAATACTTGAAGATTCCATTAAACCCTCGACTAGTTTCATGCCTAGACAAGAAGCGGAATATCGCAAAGATTGGCTAGCGCAATAGAGAATTGGTACCACTTCGGTGCCATCAGTGGGCAAACTACGGTTTTCGCTAAAAAACTAAAGCTTATTAAAAAAATGAAAAGTTAATTCAAGCTACTGTGACTAGACTTAGTGACAATTGTATTATTTCCAATATCATGTACTACAGATTCTACCTGGATCCCGTGTAATTCTCGATGATCGGCCTTGGACGATAGGCAGGCGACTGAAGGAACAGCAGCATTCTGGAACGGCGTTTGCTGTCGTTATAGGCAAGGGCTTGAAATTAGAATTACACCAGTTTGCATCTGAGACGCCATCCGGAAAAGGCGCGGGGTCCAGCGATCGACTAAGGGGTAGCCAAACTGAGCCGTATATTTTGACAGAAAAATCGGCGGTATACGACTTTTTCGATAAGCTTCGCCAGCGGCTGCAGCTCATTTAGGAGTTACTATATACTTTCTAGGAACATTTGTAAAAGGGAATTTTGTTTTTTCAATTTTAGTTTTAATAATTTTATATAGAAATATACAATAAACTTGCTAAAGGGTACACTTGTTGGAGAAAATTGTTGACCTTTTAGATTTGAGATTTTTAGTAGACACTCTCCTTTACGAAATGAAATAACTAATAATATAGAGATTCTAAATGACAAAAAACGTTCACTACGAATGTATAATGCATATACCATTTGATGGATGTAAACAATGGGCTTTTATTTGTGGTTCCTATAATATCAAATAGCTAGTAAAATACGGAGTATTTGATCGGAGACGACCGTCACATAACAACTTTAGAATTCGAAGAAGAAACAGAAACGCTCTTTTACTCATCGTAGGCTGGTTGGAACTACGTATAGTCATAAACGCGAAGATCAAAGGAGGTCGAAAGACGAAGCTTCTCAATGCCTCACTGTCGATAGGCTTTGTTTGATCTCTCTTCAAATATAGTTCCATTTATCATAGAGAAACCTTTTTAAATAAGTGATAGTGAGGCCATTATAATGGCCATATATGATGGCCTGACATATGAAATGATAGAATACATCAGTCCTAAAACATATTCGTAATAAAATAAGAGATCTTCCAACCAGAGTAATTCCGATACAGAGAATGCCCGACGCTATAATATCAAGATGTCAAAGGCGGCTCTCGCGTTCGCTAGCATAGCCACTATCTTTAGCCCCTACACTAGAAACAAATGTTATCTAACATTTTTTGAACAAATTTGAAAGTTTCTACTAAGGTCAGCATATAAATGAACACACAGTCATGTTTTTTAAAGAAAAGCAATAACAGCTTATAGTTATTTCTCATCACCGCCATTCTTTTTCATGGTCACTAGTTCCGACTGTCTATTTACTGATCTGTATCTGTATCTTCATTCTTGTAATATCTACATTATTTCCGTAGCGCTCACAGCGCTCTCCGCAGCTGCGGCAGGGCCGCACCGAGGGCTAGAGCTGCATTTATGCCATTTTTCATCTTTTACATTTCTTGTTGCTCTTTAAACTGTCCCGGACCAACGATCGATCATCGTCTCGGTTACCGCACACGACATCGTAACACAGACGTAGTTCGTTGAAGTTCTTTTCTGCATTCATTAGCTCCTTTGTTCCTTCCACGTTTGCCCTAGGTTCGTCTCCCTACTTATATGTATCTAGATTTTTATGTCGGGACTAATTTACGTGGTGCCATTTTACGCGCACTCCATAAATATTGTTGTTACGGGAATATATTACTTCGTATTTACAACAAATCGCTTTGTGTCTTATGTTTTTGTATTCCACAATTTTGATAGCAATGGCTTTCTTGATTTACTATAAAAATCTATCGGCTAGAAGTCAATCGTCAATAATGCAGTCTCCTTCCTCTACCTTGAAGTCGGCAAAGCTGGCTTATAGATCACTTATGTTTGCCTTTATTTGCTGATTCACTTTTGGGATTTGTTTTGTCTGTTACGATGCATTAGTTCTGTCGTACTTATTATCACGGTAAGCAACATTACGGCTAATTAAGTAAACGTAAGGATTGTAACTAATTCTACACGGGTTTTGGACAGGATTACCCTAATGGGATTACCCCAAGCCCCGGTGAGCATACAAGTTATTTGTGAATACGCATTTTGTGTTGCCTATGTCCGAATAAGTTTGAACTTTAATTAACTGAAAGACATTGTTTTTAGATTATTGAATGACATACACATAAGGAATACATTAGCGTTCAGGTAGCGAACAGATGATACAGATTTTATGGGCGAAAAACGGGGTAATTTCCATAATATAAGTTAGTACATAGTTCCATTAGTTTTTACTAATGTGCTCTAAATGCACCGTTCTTCGCGTTGATTAAGTCACTTCTCACGTATATAATTTAACGAATAATTTGATTAACGAATTTTTTCTCCATTTCTTACTCAAACGCCTGATAGGAAGGATCTTTTGGACTTCCCGTTCAAAGAGCTGGGTAAAGCCTATTATTTTTCCTGTTCCGTTTGTATTAATGAGAAGTCAGCGTCGTTTATTATGCGTCAGCGTGCATAAGATCCTTGTGTGCAAAGCGTACCAAACAATACTCAATACCTGTTAAAAAAATAATCCATCCAATAAACGGCGTAGACTCGCCTCTTTTTAATTTCCATGTGTGTTTTCAGCAAGTTAATTTTATTCCCTTTTGTTATGTTAGTTGACTAGATGACTGGAATTCTGCATGGTGTCATCGTGCCAAGCATTTTCTCACCGAGGTCGTTGTTCCGTCCGAAATTAAGCCACTCCTTTTCCACTCATCGGCGTTAACTACTATCCTCATTATCATTATTACTGGTATGGCTATTACTCGGCTATTAATCACATTAAGTGTTACCGTCTGTTCTCCCGTCGCTCCACAGTACTATCATCGATATTATTGCTAGTATAGTGAATCGTTCTATGCAATATCACTTTAGCTTTCAGTAAAACAGGTAAAATCGAAGACTAACAAAAGCATGTCGGCCTACGAATAGTAGGACCCCATTAAAGCAACTCACTGTCATACGATGAAAAAGGGAGAGAGGTGGCATATCTTAAAAAGTAATGACTAAGGGGTAAGTTAAACTACTTTTCCTGCGCTGACTGTCGCCGTCGATAGTCTTCTATAAAATTCTACCATATGGTATTACCAGCCGCCTTTTATTAGACTTCCGCTGAAAACGAATAGATCGCTCCTTTATTTTAAAAGTATCACTCGCTCATTTGCTGCCGATACGCAACAATGAACTCCAGTTAACAGCGCTCAGCCTCTCTCCCGGCATTCGTAACGGTATCGTGGCGACGTCATTATTATGGTATACTCTCCGCCCAGACAAAATACGTGCAATGATGTGTACAATACACAGAATCTTGTGAACTTTGCGGGTCAAAACGATAAGAACGTATTAACTTTTGTTATGTTTTCTCTGTGCCTTCTGTAAATTATGGCTTGTTTATTTTTCTCACTTATATTTAAACCATTCTATATGCTGCTACGGTTTCCCATTGCGATACGCCCATCACACGCCTCCAAACTGGTTTTTTGCCTGTCTCTCTAGTTGTTTTTCACAGGAATATAAATGAATACATAATAATTTTACTCATTGAAGTAGAAGAGGATATTTACAAAATAATCAGTCGTCGTTCGTCAGCGTCGGAGTAATAGTGTTAGTAGTTGAGTTCAACTCCGCAAACGTTTACTACTATTCGTGTTTTTGTTCGCCGCTTTTCTTTGGAACCATTAATATCTCAATATTTTCTTGCGGTCTTTAGCAATCTCTTATTGTGTCTTACTGAGTGTCGGTGTCGTTTAGGGTTTTTGTCGAACTCATCGGCTAGTATAGTACAGCTGTTGATTTCTACAATTTGGAATCATATAATCATAGGTGGGTGAGGGAGATGGAGGTTTGAGCTCACTCAGTTTGTCCCATGAATAGACATACCTGTCAGTGTAAGAAATATAACTTTGCTGAGCTGCTGAAATCTGTTATATTGTACGATAAACTGCTTTGAAGAAGACATTTCTATGGCTGGGTCTTAAGAATACATTTATGGTTAGCCATAAATTTACTGACACAAGCATTAAGTTATGGCTCGCAATTAGAATGACGGCCGAAACTTCCAACCTGCGGAACCTCATTTCATTATTCTATAACACAGAGTGTTACCATTCTGCCCCTGTGACGATCATGCTAGGTGGCAGAATTATAACATGTGGTAATAGAATAATGCCCTGTGAACATGACCGTAGACGCCAAAACCATAATTTGTATTACTGTACTGGACAACCGCTTCATCTGTAGACATCTCACGCTAATCTATTTTACTCCATTGGACCAAACGAGCGACTTACCACCTTAATTTTCATTGACGTATGTCTGCTAGATCCCTTCTCGTAGTAACATCCCTTTGGTCTACTTCAAGTATTGTTCCTGTTCTACCCTACCAGCACCTTCAGCATCATCCCTCAACGATGCGAAAAGTTCGTCCAACTTCATCTAGTATTTTCTGTAAAAGCTAACACCACATATCATGATAACTTACGTGTGTGGCCTTTGCATCCATACACTTACATATTTTCTTCATTATCTTTTTGTCTAGCCCCTTCTTCCGTGCCCCTCTTTCTAAGTGCCGTCAATCTACACTTATGCCATAGTATATATGTCATTACCATAAGATGTTTATCTATTCTTCACATGTTACTTCATTACCGTTTTGGCTGATGCCCATTGCCAAACTTTCCACTCCTCGAATATGACCTACTTAACGATAGCGACCAGCCGCTTGCTTGTTACGCCCGTGACATTACTTCGGCGCCTATTGATGCCATTGTTAAACAAATTGTTATCCCTTTCCTTCATGGGATGCTTTGTCGGGCTCGAGCTGCCGCTGCCAAATGTACTGCCGCTGTGAGCGGTAATTCCGCTAGCGGGTGTCGACCCGTTTGGTTATTGTCACTCTTTTGACTGATAAAAGAGGATATAGCCAGACTCGGAAGATTTCGGCGTGTCCTGCGTCAGGCCAAAGAAATCATCAATCGTCGACGGATCGATTTTATCTACCATGTCATCGTCGAATAGGAGCCACAAGCCGTGCGATTTCACGATCGAGATGTAATGACCCCGATTCGGTCCGGTGCCACAGTGGACAACAATGGCAACAAGGTCGTATAGCCGATCACCGTTGAGGGCGTCATCCGACGTATTGAACAGCCGCAGCTCAAGGGGAAAAACGACCCTCCACGATAGTTTTGTATTGCGATTCTGTTGTTCAGTGTACTTAAAGCTACGGGGAAAAAAACGAACAGTTTAATGCTTAAATAAACCATCAAATCAGGTCAATGACACGCAGGGACCAATAACCGAAAAATCATACCGTTCAACTAAGTTGAAATATCTACAAAATATCTTACAATAATAATAAAAACGCGTTTTATGCAAGGTGTCTTCTGCTTTCTACTGACCGTTTAAGATGCAACGCGAGAATTGGTGGAAGCTTCTTAACCTTGAGCGATTTTTGTGCCTCCTGTTTCGAGTTACATTGCTCACAATGGTATTTGTGCTCGCCTCGAAGTGTTTCCGTCGAACTAAATCCACGCAAGCAGTGACTAATCGATGTATTGGGAGAAATATCTACCGACAGATCCAAAAAATCTTCATCTTTTGACGAGACTGTTTCGCACGTTAGACATCTAGTCTCGTTCACCAGCGTGCCTAGAAGGCGGGCGACAACAATTAATGTTAGAGAACAATAAGTTTACAGCATTGTTACATCTAGCCGAAACGATTCTCTTACGATCTCTATTGCTTAATATTAAGTTCTCACATATACGAATTTACTAAAAAAACATCATAGATATGTGCATCATCACGGAATATACGAGGATCGAAATATGACTTCGAATTTCTTACTTGCATTACGCTTAAGGCGTGCAATAATATTTCTACAACTTTATCTATTAATACGCAAATTGTGCAGCATATGTGCTGACGACAAAACGACAAAACATGAAGCAACAGCGTCAGAATTCTTTCAAGCGGAAGCCTGGCAGTTCAAAACCACTGCGGTGGCACTGTCCTACATCGAAATGGCGTCAGCTTGCGCAGCGGTCGTACCTTGGAAAATGTCGTGCACCCACGATGGCTCCTTGGTTTGCGGACTACTCTCTGCCTGCAAGAGATCCCCTATTGTATTGAGCAGATAGTTGAGGAACTCGTGTGCGTCCTGCTGCAGATAGTTGTCAAAAACTTCATTGTCTTTGCGTAACCGCGCGATGAACTTTTTCGGAGCAAGCGTGCCTGTCTTTTTCTTATGTGAGTGTATATTGTGAAACAAATCTGCAAGACACGTGAGCAGCGTCTCTCTCGTCCTTTTGTTTTTCGCCTTAAGGATAATGTAGTACAAAAAACAATAACAACGGCACCAAGAACAACAACAACAACAACAGAAACAATAAGGATAACTGTGACTAATATATGATTACAGCTGGATTAATAATTTTACAAACTGGCGAAGTGTTTAGCATAAACCTTGATCTCCAAAATACGAAAGCAAGTCGCCGACAGTGGCTAGTCCAAATCTCAGGTTATTTTTTGGGCCCTAAATATAATTATCTTTTTCCCCTCTCCCTCTTTCTCTCTCTATATATAAGGGTAATAAGTAATTCGAATTCCATTACCATTTGTGTAGCAACTAGTTATAATTGAGCAAATAACAAATTATCATCATGTGTATACGTATGTGTAACATGGTGACGACCAAGCCTTTGCATCATACCCTTAGCAACCTACCTTATATTCAAGAACCTTCTCCCTAAACGGCTTGCAGTAGTAGAGCGCTTGAAGGACGGAGTTGCAATAGCAAGTATTGCCGAAGTTTACGAGACCGAGATATCGTTCCGATGAGGGAAGCTGTGCATCATCGCGGTCACTGCCCGTTCCACCTTTATCGTTATTGGCCCCACCTGGGAGCAAAGTCGAACCGTTGGCTCCCATTCGTGGGCCAACAGTGACTACGCCGATGCTACCGATTCGAGCAGCTGTCGTGACGATACCGTCAATTTCTACAGCCTCTGTCGCCGGTCTCACCGGACACTTCAACGGGCTGAACCCTGTTACTAACGGCGAAGTCAACGATATCACCAGCTTCGACTAGCCACGGTGCACGTGGCCTATTATAAAACGATGCACAGAGCATAACGGGCAAAAAAATAAAATTATATTATCATTAGTAGTAGTACTATATTATGATATCAACGTATCGTTAGTGATGATAGCCCACCATGCTACGCTTGTTTACCCAGAGCTAGAGGGCAACATAGCTATGTAACAGTGAGTTTGAGATACGGATATAGATACAATCACAGATAAAGTCAGTTCCAGGCTTTATCTGTGATTCTAGTGTGAAGCGTTAGTTGATTTAGAACAATACAGCGTCTCGCACTTTGTTGTTTTCTTTAATATATTTCTGATTACTTTGACGGCTACAACGGTTCCAAAGGGTCTATTACAATGTTATATGCCATTTGCAAGCTTGAACGAGCGCTTTTTAGCAGTTTCATTATAGGAGACAAACCGCAGCCATTACTGCAATTAATAATAAGCATTACAGTATCACGAAATAACTTAGGCCCCCTTATCAAGCAGGACCTTATAGATATAACACACTTACATTCTCCAGTTTATGGCGCCAATCACGCTGTTGCCCGGTTATAATAAAAACCCGCCTAATCAGTAATAACAACAATAATAATAATCAATGCCAATGAATTTATGTAAATTTATGTATAAGGTCCACTTCTAGAAACGCTAGTGACCTAAAAATTTCAAAAACAGAACCGAAGGCAGCTACATAGAGTACGAGTAAACATCGTCGACTCGTTTCAGGTTTCGTACGTTCAAATTTTCACTAAAGTAACCAAACATCAATATAGCAAGAGGTCACATAGCCGACAGTTGACAGCCGACATAGGTGACGTCTACATTCTATTAATGAAGAAGAGGTTTTATACACACTCCTAAATCCCATTAACAGATAGCGCAAGCTGTCGGCAACTGCTCAATAAGATAAATAAGTGGTTTACTGAATACGCTTCCCACATCGGATAATAGAGTATTTCTGAGCCTGCATGAGAACCATGGTTTAGGAGAATAAGAAGACCTCTAACCCGCAGCATAAACGACGTTGAGTGCTGGCGGTTCAGAACTTTCTATCAAGACGGTAGCGTCCTAACTTCTTAAAGAGCAAGGACTGTTGTATATCTATGGTAATTATATATTCTTTCAAAGGCAAAGCAGTATCAGTACAATACACGAGGTCCTCTACGCACCTCATTCTTAATTATAATAAGAGTTTATTCGTACCAGTATGGTTCCAGTAAGTTATAGGTTACAATGGAATTCCTTGAAGAAATTAAGCGTATATTTCAGCGGAAAGGTCCTATCTTCTAGGCGAAGTACCTGTTAAAAACTCATTTCGTTAAAATATGTATTAGCAAAACCAGGGAACCATCAATGTTCTTAGTGTCACCGGCTAGCTATAAGCTTAGGGAATCGGTTATTAGAATACTCGAAGTTTTGACTAATTTAATTTGAACATATTCCTAGTTCCTATTAGTTCTCGACTATTCTGTTTATCTTTGTACTGTAGCACTATGAGCGGACTGTTAATGGAATCAAAACAACTTTCTTTGTCCGACACAGATCGAGTCGGGGCTGACTTCGCTGATGTGTGTCAAGTAAGCTCTAGGGAATGACTGTTGCGGCTGAGTCACGGCTGGCTAATATCATATGATTGTGGTAAATGAGCAACCTCCAATTAGCACATTCAAAAACTAGAATTTATACATAAACTTACGTTCGGCGATATGGTAAATAAGAGAGGAATACTCAGACACGGCAGGCTCTTTACTCACCAAATCAGAACACGAAAACTTTCCAAGGCACTCTTAGTGGTTCCCGCTTCGCAGCCAAGTGCTCGCTAAATCGCGACGCACCAAGTCCGCCGGCCTAAGGCCGCGGGCCGCACGGTGAATCCTGTTATTGCATGGCACAAGTTTGTTACTATTCCCGTAGCACGGAAGACAACCTCACGAATTCGTCATTGGCGGCGACGGTCAACGACAACGACTGGATAAATCGCAACTACTGCCCTTAACAGAATCGCCTTTCGAACAAAAAAAAAACACTGGTTTCTTCTTGCTTACAGAACCGCAATCTCGGTGAGATCACACGCCGATATCTTGCGTCCCACAAACTCCGATCATAGCAAAAGACGTTACACGTTACAGGTGGGTAGTGTCCTACCTGTCTCTAACCAGTCATCTGGTCAGCATTTGTCTGCTTTCTGTTTCCCTGTGGTGGGTGGCTATGCTAAGCTAAGTGCGGCACGGACGGCCGCCGGCCAGCAGGATATTTGCCCGTACCAGCAGTACAACAACTACTCAGTTAGGTAAATAGTTTCGTCTAACCCAGTCAACGAATTCGCTTTCTCCCGTAACTCTTCGAATCTATGAGAGACTTCGTTAGAAGCTCTGGTAATTCAGTCGTCCACACGACTTCATTTAGGGCCATCCGGTATCTGATGTTTTGTATACGTGTGCACAGGCCGTGAGATAGATAAACGGGAGGGCAGAAAGAGACTTTACGGTACAGCTACTTCAAAACGTTACGCACGACGATCGCCCGGGCCGTGTTTTTCTGTTTGTAAAACTAATCTCGTGCTGCTACCGCACTTGCTGTTAATGTGCCTGGACGTTTCGGCCAATCGGGCTACGACGATGGCAGTGGCTGGCTCTTGCTGTGACGGCGGCTGGTCATTCAGTGTTTCTTGGAATAGTCAACAGTGCGTTCTGCTCTGGGATTCTATCCGTCCCAGTAGTACTGCTGGACACTGCAATTGTCGTGCACAGTTCTGGCGATAATTGCAGCAGCACCAGGAGGAGACACGGCTTTGTTTTCACGTCAACATTGCTTCCCAAGAAGACTGGCAAACAGGAACACGCATTAGGCGAACAGGCACACAATAACCCGCCGTTTGCTCCGTGCCGAGTAAACGAACGGCACACCGACGTTCTAGATGGCCACTGTCCTGTTTGTGTTGTGTGGCGCGAGCGGGCGTTCGTCGATCTTCTGTCGATAAGCTCCACTCGTCGTTGTCGCCGTCGTCAGTAGAACGGAGCGTTACGAAGCGAATACTCAAAACAAAACAAGACAAACACTGAGATATTTCGGCAATGAAATGTTGGATGAACGGGTACCCGCCACATTTAAAAAGTAACAAGGTGAAGAGATGACAGCAAGACAGTCTGTCTGTCTGTCATTGTCCAAATAGAAAGGTACGCTGTGGGCTTTTTAGACAGAAGTGCAGCGTACAAGGAAAAATAAGACTGAGGCTGAACGGGAGCGGAAATGTCTGAAATCACTAGACGAAAGCAAATGAGCCAATATATATTTGATGTTTAGAGTCGTTTATGCGCAGAGAAATAGAGTTCCGACTAAACGGTGAGATCAGAAGTCGTTGCGATGTTCACCGCCAACTTAGCGAAACCTCGTTAATCAACGGAATATTGGAATCGGGAACCAAACTCAAAAATATTATGGCGTTGCGCCTGATAATAATTACGAGGCAGTTTGGTTGTTCTATAGTATACGTGTGAGCCTTGTGCCAGACTTCATTTGTATACTGGTCTCGTTGCGTAGATTATTTCGAAAATTACGTAGTGAAAGCCATCTATACTGTATAGTGATGTGTACAATTTCAGTACATGGCTAATGTCTGCTTTTGTTATAATTGGTTGTGTAAATTATTACGTTTTGTGGCAGTGAATTATTTTTTCAATAAATTGGAATCGGTTTCTGTAATGGTTGTTTAACCGCAGCAACAAACCCTATGGCAGTTTAAAAATACTGGTATATTCTTAATAAACATTCACAGGAAATGGGAAAACATAAGAAAAAGGATAAAAAGAAAGACAAGAAGAAGCATCGCAGACGTCGCTCATCACCAGTATGTCAACCATTAAGTTGCTATCGAAACGCCAGCATCCCCACCATCAACATGATAGAATGCTTACACAGCAAGCGGAATGCTTATCTGAAATTTCTGCAATTACTATTATTATTACCATAAAGCGATAAATAGATCTTGAAATCGCAAGGCACCTTTATATAATGAGTACTTCAAAATCTATTTCTAATCCTATTCTGTCTCACAAAAAAAATCACATTAAAAAAATGCTACCACGAAGAGTAGGCTAATTTGTTTCCACCTTTCTAGTTTCGCCGTATAATCAATTTCAAACACGTGAACAATGAATTACATAGACAGTGGCTATGTTTTAAAATCCTTCGCGAGTTCTTCCACAACACCCCTATGTTGAACAATTTCTCTTAGATACAAAACGAATGCTTAGGCTGAAGACTGCTTGGCCGGAAATATAATAAAAGCATTCTAAGAGTCATCTTCTTAATCCATGTAATGTCACAACACCATTGTTACTGCATGCATGGCTTAATTATCACATAAAATTGTATCAGAACTAAATTATGAAGCAAAAGTTTCTCTATATTGAAATGAATGGCTCAGCCGCAATTATCTCTATTGGCAACTCTATAGTATTTTCTCAATAAGTGAGCGTTTACTGATCCTTCGGAACATCACCTCTTCCGACAACCTACTACAATTAAAGCAGTCTGCCAGTTACTAAATCTAACTCGATGGTTTTTAAACATTTCAGAAAAGTGATTCGGATGGATCATCAAGCTCTTGGGAAGAGGTCCCTAAGGCATCCGACAACAACCAAAAGCAAGACAAAGAAGGAAGTTCTTCGGTAAATAACAACCACCTTTTTCAAAGTTATCTTATTATTACTTAGGATTTCGATTGTTATTCGTACTTACTCTACTGTAGAACCTGCGTAAGATTTCTTTAGAGGCACATGTCATCTATTCTATGACTCTTCGACTTAAACCATTTGTTAATATTATACGCTTGATTAGGGTTGACATTTAACTTTTGCCAGCAAACTAGGTTTTGTTGAATGCTAAGAACGGTTTTCTAACACATTGATTCGAACATATGTTTACTCCTTCTGTCGAACTGATCGTCCTTTTGAACAGGAAAGTAGTTCAGCGTCAGTTTGTTCATGGAAAAATGTTTCGAAGGGTAGTCAAAAGAATGCCGATCGTGGGCCTGCCAATCAAACCTTCTGTCAAGCTTCCGAACGGATAGATTGGCTGGCTGGAAGCGATATTCTCTCATCGATATCAAAAGATTATCGTGAGGAGAAAAGGGGACGACATCAGCAAAGAAAGCAAATGGAACGGCGAGTGGATCAGGTGAGAACAAAAAACCTAAAGCAAGCAAATTTCGCAACGGTGATGACAGTAGTAACAGCTAATTGTGCGTGAGAAACTCGCTATATTTAATGTTGATAAGCAAAATTCAAATTGTGCATGCCTGAAGCTGTTACATATTCCACCAGATGCCGTAAACGTTTTGTTCGTGGCATTTAGTGGTTTCCATTTTTGGCTAGCATTATTAATAGTAATGCTAGTAATATTAGCAAATATTATCTTTTGAAATATTTTCGTTCCGCGTTATTGTATATGTGTAAAACTTAGCCCGGTTCGGGCCTCTAAATATGAATTGCGAATGTTAGGATATCCGCCACGCGGTATCCGTTAGCTAATTACACGATGCAAAATGTACTTAATACTGAAATATATGGCTAAAACTATTATATTAATTGTTTTTTCTGTTGGTTAACTTTAGCCTGGACAACATGAACGAGAGCAAAACCCATATTGGAAAGATGGGGGTCTAGGGCTTCCACAAAGCGAATCAACTGCGTCGGAGCAAACCGGGGAAGGACTTTCAGCTAGTCGAAGTTTACCGGTGGCTGAGAGTGATCATGGACAGCTGCAGTGGCTTCAGCGCGCCTTAAAAAGATTGAAAGAGGAAGCTCACGATAAGGGGCTCCCGGTGGAGGAGGTCGCCAAGGAACGCTGGGGTGTAGGTAACATGAATTGGCTTTTGTCTTCCTTAACAAACGGTTGGCGCAGCGCCTATACAGGCTGTTTTTTTAGATTTTTATTATAAAAGAGCTATGATGCGTGCTCAAAGAAAGTAGAAAAATTGAAAGGTGTAGCTAAGCCCTGGCAACCTAGATTCTCGATAAAAGTGCTGTAACAATCATAAGCAAAACGAATGTCTTTTTTAAATTCGCTTTTTTTGTATAGTCTTTCTATCTGTTGACATGATCTGAACTTGAAAGCGCACTTCAAGTAAACTCCAATTTTAATTTATCAGCAAGCACCCGTTCATTCTCTGTTGATAGTACTTTAGTCAATGTTAGATCTAAATTAGAGTTATGTAAGTGAGCAAACATTCAAACACGGTTGACAAAATGCGTAAACTATTCTAAATTCTAGTGTCTGCGTATCATGTTTTAGAGCTTATCAAAGCTTGAGGGTTTAATTCGTGAAGCGGAATTGAAAACTGGCATTCGGTGTGGCCGCGGTCCGATAAGGTACAATGACAATTCTTGTTTTGATGGCCGTAGCGATCGACGCCACCATGAGGGAGGCTCCTCACGTAAGGTTAGAACTAACTTCAACCAGATAGAATATTTCCCTACATATTGGTATTTACTATTAAGCGTGTGGAACATGTATCCGTCTTTTGCCACTTTTCCGGGATGTGCGGAAGAGATATTGTATAACAATGCACGCAAGTCGGAGTCTAATTCATACCGTGCTATTTAAACAAACAAAAGTTTAGATATTTTTAGAAACAAGCCGCATTCTGGAGTGCAATTCGAAAAATAAAGCTTTACTGAGAAATGATCGCCTAATAATATAGATAACAGTGCCAATACGTGGTCGTAATAATGCCATTTAATTGTACTACCTGGTGCTATATTGTCGCAGTGGGAAGACACGCGTCGTCGATTGCGACGGCCGGATTCTGATGATGAAGGTGAATATAGAGGATCAGCAGCCAGGTAAATGTTTTAGTGATTTAATACAATAACACGGATTAACTGAGATAGCTTCAACCGTTTGAAGCTTCCGGCTGTCATATAGATGGTGCAACCAATCTCAACTCAAGTAATTAAATCTAACACCCTCATTAGATTATTTTTCGATAGTTAAAGAATTTCGAATGAAATTGTTCAACAATTTCGCGGAGTTCGCGCATCAGGCTAATGAAGCTTCTACAGCATCGGAGCAATCCGTTTTATGCAGGTCGGATGCGACTCGATACTTCATAAATTTCATACAATTTGCAGCTCTGAGAGAAGCTACAATAATCTTTAAATATAGTATATTTTATTCAGGTGTTGAAATATTTTCTTTGTGCGCCTTTTCAATTGCAGAGTATTGCAGAAAGATAATGAAAGGACATCGTCAAATGGGACCAGTTGGACGGTATCAGTAGACCATCGAAAGAGTCGACAACATCAAGATAGCCGTTATCGAATAGATAAAGAACGAAAATCTTGGCGAAAGGATACACTTCAGATGTAATTGTCCCATAAATATCTTATATATTTTAAATATCCGTGCTAGTGGCAACAAATTATCATCGTATCAATTAGACACATTCATGTAAAATTAACACTTGTCCTGAACATATATAGCTACATATATAGAGCTAATCTGGAACGTTTGTTTGTGGTAATACAGCATCTCAAAATTCAAATTAGTGAAAAGTTAACATAGATCTATACTGCACCGTACATGTGAGAAATCGAATGAATGTTACTACTCATAGAAAAAAGCTTTTGGTCGGTGGAAGTCACGCTGCTCTTATAAGTGTAACTGACCCCGTATGTATTTGAAGAGTAGAACAACTTATGAAGTATATAATTAAGCGCTTTGAACAAATGAAGTCCAGTGCAAAATAGAAACGAATATCCCAAACTGTAGATAGCCTCAGACGAGGCTACCTCCTGTTTCTAATGATCTAACTACAGCAACCGTTAAGAAAACGTCTAAAAAGAGATATGTGTTGTCCTAGGGAACCGTCATGTCAGACGCAAAGTAAGTCTGAACTTGAAGATGTAGAAACCACAGGTAGCCCGCAAAAATCGGGCGAATTTCAAAGAGAGCCCGAAGGTGATGCTAAAGCCTCGACCGAATCCTGCGCCTCACATGTCAAAATCAATGCATCTTCTAATCTTCAGTCGCAAGCATCAAAAGATGAAGATCAACAGGAGGAAGAAATAAAGGTATCTGCGTGCGAGACGCGCAGAGCGTACACGTGGTTCTCTTAGTCGTAAATAAAAGTTTAAACAAAAATTTTTTGTTGCTTTTAACGCTGATGGCACACTGCTGTATAGAAGGGTGAAATATCTTTATTAATGTTTGAAAACAATTGTGCGAAAACATCCCCTTTATTAAGTCACGAAAAACTTACGCTTCTTTGCTTTGTATGACTTTTACCCATAAGTCTGCGTTAGCTGTAAAAATATTTAGGATCCACTCTAACCCGACGAGGTAATTGGTTATTTTCCTTTAATAGGTTCTTAGCGATACTGAGCTGAACAAGCTAGCTGCAAAGCTTCTCAAAGCTGAAATGATGGGGCACACTGAGCAGGCGGACAAACTTCGAAAAAAAATCCAGGCTGCGCGAAAACTTCGTGAAGAAAATCCCTATGCCGGCAAAGGCCAAGCTCTGCAACAACATGAAGTCGTTATTCTTACCAAGACAGGTAAACCCGGACTCTAGTAATTATTTTTTCGTGAAATATAACACTACGTGCACTAATCTATTAATTAAGCATATTCCTAAAGTTCGCCCGATTAAATAAGGACCAAGGCTATAAGTTTCATGTTAGTGCAGCAATTCGATATATTAAACACTTTTATGGCATCTTCCGATTTGTACCTCTCATTTCCGTTAGACTCACGAGGCATTTCCAGACCGGTTCAGCTTATTCCAGAGGAAGGCCCCTCTGATGCTAAACGACAGAAGAAAATTAAACCGGATACCCATAGAGCGGGTGACCGAATGCGGTATTTCGCAGACGACGATCGACAGTCGCTTAAAGAAATGGTACAGAAATCAAATTAAGGACATGGCTTTTGTTTTTTTTTTGTTCACACGAACGGCATCGGTTTTACCGTAACGACGGTAGAGGCCATAGTAATATGCACTTTTTATACTGTTTGATTGAAATTGCAGTTTGAGCGCGAAAAGTTGTCGACAGCTGCGGACGATATGGCCATGTTCGCTAAAATGGCTGGTCGAATCAAAGCCAAGGTAGGAGATGAGGATTACACCGTCGATGACGGCTTCGTGGAGCAGGCCGCCAGACACGATGACTCCAAGTCTCAAAAAGAGCAAGATGCTAATAAAGCTATACAAGGTTTGTGTAGGGAAGTGTTTTGATTTTGGGTTGTTAGATGCTTATCTTCAGTTTTTGAAACGAAATAATCCTAAATAATTGGAACGGTTTGCTGAGACTGCGCCCTAGTTTCAAAAGCATCTTTCAACAATAAGCATAGTCAAGGTAGCACGGTTAACTTGACATATTTTTCGAGTGCGATGTGTGCATTTTCCATTTTGCTTAGCAATAGTACTATAGCCGCATATGTATGTATGCTTAAAAATGCACTTTTATCTTTGGTTTGTGTTTATAGAACACCATGTCATGAGGAAAGCGCTGGAGACATGTTATTATTGTTTGGAATCGCCAGCATGTCTGAAACACCTACTAATATCCGTTGGCAGTTACGTAGCACTGAGTCTACCTACCTATGAAAGTCTTACAGAGGGGCATTGTATTCTCGCGCCCACACAGCATATTGCCGCGTTAAATCTCGCCGACGAAGATGTTTGGCAGGAAATAACGGTAAGCGAGAAAAGTCGCTTGTTCATCTAGTTATATTTGCTTAGTGACAAAATATAATATCGCTATTATAGATTAAATTATATTATTGTATTATACTCATTCCTAGTAGTTTCACGTTATGTTGCCAATCAATCGATATTCTTCTATTTTTTTTTATTTAGAGGTTCCGTACTGCTTTGACTGCTATGTTTTTGGCTGCCAACTACGACTGTGTTTTTCTTGAGACGGCGATGGGCCTGTCCTCGTTAAGGAAACCGCACACAGTTCTACATTGTGTACCCGTTCCTCGCGAAGTCGGCGAACTCTTGCCGATGTACTATAAAAAAGCCATTCTCGAATCCGAAACAGAATGGGCGCAAAATAAAAAATTGGTAACGTATTGATTGCGTTGAACCTGACAAAGCTGAATATAAAGTTCATTACAATACATACTACACACACCGTGTTAATAAAGTTATTACAATGAGGTTCATTACTAAGTGTGATACTATCTTCTATGTTTTTGATCGAACTGTGCAAACCTGGAAGCTTCATCTTCAAGAGATTTATTTTGTGCCACGCATTGCCATTAATGCAGTCAGCTGCTTGCGGATTCTAAACTTTTTTCATTCAACTAATATTTCCGACAACAATTACTAACTTTATTAGGTTTGAACTCTCGCTTCTCGCAATGACAGGTTGATTTGTCGGTGAAGAGGGGACTTCGTTACTCAATACCAAAAGGTCTCCCCTATTTCGCCGTGGATTTCGGCACAGATCACGGTTTCGCCCATGTCATTGAAAATGAAAAAGAATTCCCAAGGCATTTCGGACTTGAGGTAGGTAGTGCTACGTTATGACAGCGATCTGATTATGGTTATGGATCTGTAGCGATCAGCAATTAGCATTATACCTCCAAGTCAATACGTTTATAATGTGAATTGGGATTTACACCAAGCCGACATTATAACTGTAACCATGATTTTGTTGTTTTGCACTGATTTTTATAACTTGTTCTTCACGCTGTTTGTTGACAAAAATCTTTCGATAGAATTCCCGATCAATCGTATGTTTTGATTCCAGATTGTTGGAGGTCTTATTGACTGCGAACCACGTCTGTGGCTAAAGAAGCGCGCCGAGAATTTTCAGCAGCAAAGCTTAAAAGCTGTCAAGTTTTCTAAAATGTGGAGTCCATACGAATTCAACGAGAAGCTCGTCTAACGCCGAATCGAACGTGTCAGATATTCTATTTGATTTAGATGCAGATCTAATACACTAGCGTAGCGAGTACTAAACAGCTTTGTATATCCGCTATTAGATGTTGGAATCCTACTTCCTTAATGAATTCGCTGCGATAGTATCTGCTACGTATTTTTGAACTATAGAACTGTTATATAGCTCAGATTGAAGACCGCTTATTTGAATACGACTTACTAATTTCAAGTTATGGATCAGTACCATAAATGAGACTGTACATATTCGCATGTACATGTAAAACAAGTGAATAAATATGAGTTACTTTAAAAACGCATGCAGTTCATAGCATTTTGAATAGAGATTGTAAAGTATATAGGAAAGATCTATACAAACTCGAAGAAGGCTGATTAAGAGGGGATTTTTTTTTGGGTAAAGCAGCAAAAAGTAAGGGCGAAACAACCTATTACAAGTGTTTCACAATAGCTGACCTGTCCTGAGTACGTTAGAAAAAGCATATTTTAAAAAATAAAAAGATCAGCACAAATGAGTTCACCATAGCTGACCTTTCCCGAGTACGTTAGAAAAAGCATATTTTAAAAAATAAAAAGATCAGCACAAATGAGGCATCGAGCTCTGCATTAAACCACTAGACTATTCATTCAAGTATATTGTCATCCTAGTTGGGTATTCCTATATAATTACTGCAGCAAACATACGTTTTTCTTATTTCATCGTTTTATATTAATTTGCTACTAGTCAGTTTCGATTATTAGACTAATTCACGGCCACCTATGTCATTATATGCACTCATCCTTCTAAAAACTAACGTGCATGTGCAACAACGCTTTACCTGGTATCACATCATATAGAAATATATACATTGTACATTCTGCAATCAAATTAACCCAATTCGTAAAGAAGCAAAAATAACATACGCAAGTAATCCTAGGACCATCAGCCTTGACCGTCCTCGTGTAACATATTCATTGATTATTGATTGACACAATGATAGCTTTGTCGACGCATGAGAAACCCAATGTGATGATGGTCACGTTTTTATGAAGATATAGCCAAGCAGTATTGGCATGATTTCTAAGAAATCAAAACATTTTTTTTCCTGCTAGCAGACAATATAAACATGGTTAATACGTGCGCGGACAGCAAAATGGGAGTACGCCGTTGCAAAATTTAGGATGAGTTGTTATGCCTGAGATATAACAGAAAATATTTAACGATTCGTCGTATACACATTTCGGCAGCTTATTGGATAATGAATCTTTTGGCGTTGTGCAAACTACGCAATTTTTGGCTGATACGGTACGCCAGTCAAGTTTGTCTAGCGATCCAATAAATAACTGGAATTTTTTAAGTTAGCTTTAAAAGTAGCGCGGAAAGAAAAATGGAAATTTGTTTAATAGTATCAGCTGATCCCATAACCGGCAAAAAATAGAGCGGAATTAAGGAATACAACTTTCGTGTGTTAAACCAAACATAAAGGAGAAATACAAAAGGCTTTTTCTCAATGGTCACGATTCATTTTGAGGTTAGTATATATCCACATAAAATATTTTGTTTATACCCCATCCGGCTGTCGACGAATTATACATAAATACACTGTACTAAAGCATCATCGGTAGTAGTGTAATGTTCTTCCGCAGCGAACTGCGTACCATCTCGAGGCACCCTGAAGACGTTTAATATTTTTATAAAATAGCCTTCTGCAGAGGTGTACCGCAATTCATAATAGCAGTACGCTCACAACTCAGGTTTGTTGTATGGGGTCGACATGGCGAGGACTTTCCTTTACTGATATTTAAATAGGTCTACACTTCTGTTGAAGCGCTGGAACAATCAACGAGATCTCGTCGGCCAAATTAGTTACGTAAGGCAGCGAGTCGTTTTGCCAGGGCGTCGTCCTCTTCCTGAGTTGTGGCCCTCACGCCTGATACAATATTGTCCGTGGGAACAGTGGCCGCTGGAGTCGAAAGCTTCTCTTTGAGTTCAAGCCCATTTTCGTCGGCTACCTGCCGTGTCAAAAGACCATACAAAGTGAAAGAAAAGCATCAGAAAGCAAAGCACCGATCTGCTAAACGTTCTAAATTTATCTCTGTAGCACATTTATGCTCAGCTAGGGCGCTTTGTTTGTAACAACACTGTTGTTTACACACTGCGTGTCTTATTGTTAACTTACTGTCGTAAAAAAACAACTTTTGAATGCCATATAGGGTGGGCTAAAAATACTTGAATGTAGATGTCAGTGGACGGAAACTAAAAAACGGAAAGGTCGCGAGCTATAAATATTGGGATCGGTGGGTCTATCTCGACAGCAGAAAGCAAAAATTAAAAATCAGATCGAAAATTCGCGAACCTGTTGAATTAGCGCGTCGACCTGTCCTTGGGGCGTCGAAGTTGCCGTGGTCGAGCCCATCGTGTCTTCCATCACCGATGATCGAATATCCAAACTTTCAAATTGTTCCTCAAACTTCTCCATAATACTCGATACCTTCAAGACAGAATAACATCTAGTAGTCATTTCAAATGTTGGTGTATCATTCGGTTTTATCAAAGGCAAATTATGCCTTCTACCCTCGCATAGATTCTGTACATTTTTTTAACCTTAATTTTTCACTTGTGTTTTCCCACCTTCTGTAGGTCCATGGCGTTAATAGCCTTGTCCAAATTTTTGACCACGCTGCCCATATTCTTTAAGACGTGATTCATCGCGGCCGCACTTTTTACCCGGGACGCCACTCCATCGATGCGAGCTGCCATCCGAAGAAAATTTGTAGCCTCATTTCGCTTTCGAATCGAGTTCTCTGCATAGATTTTTGCATTTTCCGTATTACCTGCAATGGACACATATATGGACATAGAGTAACATTGTTTAAAAGCACAACAAAAAATCGATCCATATTTGAAAATTCGTTAAAATATAGCTCTTCTTTTAGTCGCACCTCCGATGCAGTGGCTTGGATTAGCATCTGGTAGGAAAAGACTGGGGCTTTTCGATGCTGCCATAAGCCACACCAAAGACATACCTATTACATGATTTGTGGGAATAAAAATTGTATGGTTAGACATACCATAGCAAACGGTACAGACTGCGCTTACACGTCTTCGCTATTATATGATGCATGAAACCTTATCTATGGTAAACTTACCCTAGCTTAATTGAACTCGCTTCAGAATGTCACACGAGAATAGATTTAAATGGCATTAAATTAACGATCAGACAAACTTTATTGGTAAGTATGCCGTAAACAAAGTGGTAGTGCGCGGTTCCTGTATGTTACCTTAGTAAGAATGACTTCAGCTGCAGACCGAGACGAACAAGTTCTTTGCGAAATTACGTAAAGTAAACTAGGTAATGTGCCGAGGGATATTAATAATGCCTCAAGCGCAACAAAGGGAAAACATTCGAAACTGCATTGAAGAGCCCGTTAGCTATAATTCTTGCGCTGGGGTTCTGGTTTTGATTAAGGGACTCAGGCGAATATGGAAAGAAAAATTTGCCTAATGTGCTTAAGAAAAATAAAAGCTAGCCTACCCAGCAAAACAGGGAGAAGCATTTTACACTTATGTGAACGTAATGGCGTAAAAGCAGGGCATTTCACATGTGCGGTTAAGGTACGTTTACCGTCGTCCAATTTTCATCCACAACTTTCCTATAAAATAATTATTAACGGTCAAATTTACCAATGATTCAATCTGAATTTCTAATTATATTATAACTTATACACTTTGCTGCCCTGGCGACTCAAGATGTTTGAGCCGAAAAAAAATACGTCATAGGAAAATAACACAAACTGTGAAGTTCATCTCGGTATCCAGTCCGGGCAGTCTTATGACTCAACTAACTTATGACATCAATTTGTAATGAAATCTCATTTAAACGCCTTTATAAACATGTGCTACTTGCAAGTGGCATTTTCTGATCGTAAATGTATCAAGTTCGTAGATCATACAGCAAAAAAGACAATCATTTTATTTTGCAGCAGGGTTTGTCTAAAGCTCGAATACAAATGTAGGTTTGAAACTTTCAGTCTATTTGTTATTTGTTGCCATCATCATTCTATAAGTGTGAACATACAATATCATGCACATTTAGCAGTAGTCTCAACATCTACCGCTAAAAGCTAACACCTATGTTAAGGAAGTGTTTCTACCTTTCTTCAAATAACATGCACTATTGTAGAAACCGACCGACTTTCGAAAATTTTCTCATATAATAGTTTTTGTCAGTTGTTTATAATAATTGTTATTATTATTATTATTCCTATCAGCCTAGTCAATGATAACGTTTTGGATTAGTTTCAGCAGATGGATGGGTCATCCACCACCGGTATACACACCTTTTTCGAGGGCCTTCTTGATTTTTGTCTTTTCTTCGCGTTCCTCCTTTTCGCACCGTTTTGACATTCGCTCCAGCTGTTTCGAGCTGAAACGAAGTTGAAGCGCAAGCTCGTCTAATTTATTCATGCTTGCAATAATTTAAACTGTTCTCACTCGTTTCGCTGAAACTGATCAATGAGACAACAAACTTGATACAATCTGTTAAACGACGGTTGAATAAGCAGCTACGGCCTGACGTAATAGATGCGCAGGGCACCTCTACGCAACGCTGGACAATATCAATGGCAGTGTATGATGTTATGCGATGTTATGGCGATGAAGTAAATGGTTAACCCTCTCCCAATTGTATCCCAGACACAAGCACCTGAAAATCAAGCTATGTAAACAGGATGTGCTCCTCGACAGTATTATAATTCGTGCCAGCAGTAGTGGATTAGACTTAGAGTACCAGCCACATATGCTTCATGTCAAATAAATATTGGAAATTGCTTATTTTCAACGTCTGCTTGAAAAAATTTAGCAGCCAGGTAGATAGGTTTTTGACAGTAATGAGAACAAATTATCGTGGTGAGTTCGGTGCAGTCTGCCGATTTGTTTCTTGATAACTATCAATAGGGAGAGTTTGCTTCAAGCATGTTTGACGACTTATATAGTGGATAAAAAAATGCCAAACTATGCGTTTGCTTGAAACTCTGTGCTGCCATCGAAATTTTCAACGTTGGTTGGCTAAAGGAAGATATACGGTAGGCCAGCTTGGACACAAATCTGAGCGTACCACTGATAAGAAAGCTGTTTAAGGACATATATTTCAAACATGGGCATACTTTATGAGCAAATATTCAAACATGGGTATACTTTATGAGCCAATTTAAATACTTTAAGGCGATGATTTGAGCAAGAACCGCATTGCAAGGCTGAACTAATTGATAGGAAAACTACGAACTCTGTTATTGGTCGGAATCTTTGTCATCCACTAGAATTCGAGAGACGTGGAATTGTCTCGCAGGTTTTGATGCGATGTTTTATTATGTAAGAAAAGAACTGTTAGTCTGAAAGTAACTAAGTAATTGCTGGATATGGTTGAATAACTTAATCCTTAATAACTTACTTGTATAAAAAATAAAACTATTCTTGCATTCGATAGGAAAATAACACTTGAATAGTAAACAACGTCATTCCGCGTTATCAATACAAGCCACACATTTCGGGTTGTGACCATAGACTCGGCAAGGATGGGTTAATTAGGGCACACTTCGGAACACGATGATGAGATAGGCGACACTCACAGGTGAGTGTGGTTAACGTGTGTTACAACTTTAAATGTCTTTTCTTGTAGAACAGTTTGTTTGATCTTTTTTTGTTTCCCTTTCATAGACTTTTTCTTATGTTCTCTAGTTTATTTTGACAACGTGCGTTGCCTGGAAGTTTTCTCACACGCGAAGAGTTTCGCCTCCATTTCGTCAAAGCGAAAAGGCTGGAATCAATTTTTGTTCATTGTTGAACATAATTACGTGCTAACTAATACTTGCCAAACATTTTTCATAGAAATACTCAAGTCTTCGTCACATCCTCGCATACCGGCACTCAAAAACGACATCGTGAATAAATAAGTAGTACTCAATTTCGCTTTTTTATTCATAGACATTACATTTCCCTTTGACTGTCTTCTTTACGGTACCCAAATTTCGCATCTTTTACATTAGGAAGTACGTCGTTTCCGTGTCGATTACGTCTAATCAAGCCAATATACTGAGAATTCTGAGGCCTTTAAAAACGGTTCGTATCTGAAACGTCGAACCGATAGAAGCGAGTCCATCTTGAAATTATAATTAGCAGCATTGTACCAAAGCGGAGCACACAGCCTATGCAATGGCAATCGCATCCGCCGTGATGTCTGTCCTGTTGTGGTGGGAAGAGTTCATTCTAACTCAAATTGATGGACTACTTCATCCTTGTGAATTACAGGTAAGTTGATCATAAATTTTGTATATACAAAAATAATCGCAGGTGCTTTAATCAACGGTAACATCTTACATTAAAGACACTTATATACGGACCCTTTTTTATGAAAAACTTAAGCTTTTTGAACCTAAGAAATAAACCAATAGTATCTGTTACGCTAGCGGAAGAACGCTAATATAGCTTTTTCTTTTCGGTTGGTTTTCTGTGTTGTTTCCAACATTGTCAGGTATGGGTGGCCCACCTGATCATTCTGATAATCCTGTTCAACCTCGTTCTTATCATGTGGGCGTGGAACAAATACGGCCGTTTAATCTCAGAGAGATTTATGGTGCCAGGTAACATATTGAGGATGGCTCACTTAATTAACTTAGGGTCATAAATCCTCTATTGCATCTTGACTTTTTGAAATACAGGAATAGCTGTACGAAACATATAGACGATTATAAGCAAAATTGTGTGCGATTAAATTTATGGTTGTGTATTTTGGCGTCTAATAGCAGGTCTGAAAAAAATCGGTGCCTTGTTTAATGTATTCACTGCTTTTCAGCTACGAATCGATCTCTTGAAGAATTCAAGAAAGAGGCTGCCCTGCTCAAACTACCACTTCAGCATAGTCCTCGAATATAGAATTTAGTTTAGTAAACCTAATCCATTATTTTTTTTATAGGTAGATTATAACGTTAACTATTGTACATTACAATAAGGCACAGTTCCATTTGTCGCCTTTCTCAAGGTAAAAATCTTTATCTGAGTTGTTTAGTTGGTAAGACAGGTGCTAACCAGCCAGTTGATACGACGGAAACAAAATGCAGTTTCATGAGTGAATTTAGTTAACACAGTTTGTGCACGTAGACTGCGATATTACGCATAGGGCTGAAATCTTTTAGCAACAATTTTCAGCTGAAGCTTATTAACCTAGCCGGCATGAAGAAGCAAAGGCGGCAGCTTTTCCCAATTACGAATATAAAGCATGAGGCAGATTAGCTGCATCTAATATACAAGGCCAGGTCTCCTGAAGTGACTTTTACTAATGCGAAATAGATACAATCGACATACGTGAGACAACAGCTACAATCATGATGATGATGATGATGTAAATTGCCTATAGAGTATGAAACGTGCTAATAAATATACTATGTTTGTTTGTATTTTTTGATATTACGTTTGTCCGTGTTTATTTCATCGATGAGATTTTGATAGCATTAGTTGTGTGTCACTAACTAAGTAGT